CGATTTTAGCTATTTTTATATTTAAAATATTGATACCGTACAACGTTTCACTTTATTTTTATTCTTTTATACACTAGTGATCTCAATAGCTACGCAAACCAAACATTCCTATTGCATGTGCTTCTTCATATCACAGGGCAGTAAACATTATTTATTAGCTGTCTATAAAGCCACTTGATTCAATGAAAAACAATATCACGATAAGTTTGCGCCATTATAAACCCAGCTGGGCTACAGGCATTGCGCACTCACTCTCATCTCACTTTTATTTGAACCTTATTAGTTGCTGCTAAGCGGACACCGACCTTCTCAGTGCTATCTATAGTTGAGTTGTTATGATGATGCCCGGAGATAGAGTTGGAACTTAGTAATGATAGGCGGAGAACACGTATGAAGAAGAAATGGTTATTACTCGGTCTCTCTGGCTCACCAAAAAGTTAAGGAAAATTGTAGCAAAATTTTTTTATAGGTTGTGTGTATACTAAAATTTTAAGCAGGGTGTATAATAAAATAGCTTAAAAGTGTTTATAGCTGCAAAACAACAGGAAAGTTACTCTTCAGCATTGAGTGTCGCACTCAGACTATGCAGACAGACATCTTTGGACGAAAGGAAATATGGGCACACATATCTTCTGGACGCTTCAATCTAGGAGTAAAATGGGGAATATATCTTTCTCCCCATGTATGCGATTTACATGCAATAGCAGCTGAAAAGCACTTTTGGTTTTATATTTTAAATATCGCTATCGTATACCACTTTTCATTTTTATTCGTTTACACTCTCAATAGAAACGCGAATTGTGCATTGTTATTGTATGATTTGATCGTCGGTAGTGTACGTAGCAGCTTCAATAAGGTTGTTTCCTATTGGCTCAGACTCTAACCAGGGTAGCAAAGGCAGCGAACCAATAAACTTCGAAGAAACCCCCGGCTTAATATTACTAATATTAAAATTATCATTTCATTCGTCATCGTTGGCGTTTTTAATATGATATGTAAATTTTCATTCAAGGGAGCAGAAATACTGCATGTCATTTTGAAGAATATGTTTGAAATAATATAGCGTGGTATGAATATGAGCGAGATATTACTGATCTTAGAAATGAAGTTTATGTACGTATGCAATCGATATGTCAGTTAATTATATTTAAAATATTAGCAATAACCTAGTTATCCAATCAGGAGAGACCTTGTTGGAGCTGCTACACCACCCCTGATCGTAGGGCAATAAAGGTTGTTTGTAGATTGTAGTACGATTTTTCACTTTTCAGCATTATTTTATAAAGCCACGTTATTCCGCGATGTCGTTAATATCGACTCTGTTCGTGTTTCTTGTCTAACATGAGTTTAAGGTTCCTTCTTAGCTACAATATTAAAAATATGGAATGCCCGTGATCTAGATTTAAATTTAGATGTAAGTTTCGGATATCATAAAAGGTGTTTGTATATTGATATGAAATTGGTTTTCGCTATATTTTGTTTCATGTGACGTCATAATTCCAGTGGGGGCCACGCATGGACAAAGCATTTCATTATCTTTCTGTATTTAAAATAAATTCCCGGATCGCGTTAAATGAAAAACCTAAAGTTTAAGAAACTTCTGTTAATTGGTGCACTACAAGATATCCCATATATCTATTAAAAGTGAGGTTATAAAGAATAGAGATCCTACATAGAGGTCCCTGTAACAATGGGGGATTTCGTTGAAGACCAATCAGCAGGTTTCTTTAAATATTCGGTAACGGGATCAAAATGCGTAAATTTATGCTACTTCAGGTAAAAAGGATAAAATATTAAAAATTCTGTACATGAAGTATTTAAAATTTAGATCAATTCGTTTGATTTGCTGTGCCTGCAGGAAAAAACGCAAACAAATATGTCTATTAGTTTCAAACCAAATTCCACCTCTTTTCCACCTGTGAAACCATTCACACAGTTCACTGCAACGAAAGTCGTTATCAAAACTCAGTCATTTACACGCAAAATAACTTCTGAGTGTTATGAAATATTGGGGGAACCCAAAATTCGTAGTCGGCAGGATTTGAACCTGCGCGGGAATATCCCAACAGATTTCTAGTCTGTCGCCTTAACCACTCAGCCACGACTACATATTTACCTGATGGGTGGCTTCTTTGGCATTCGTATTGGAACTTACCTGGTTATTAAGTCTTGGGCACAGGTGGAAGATCAGTTTATCATATTTTAGTAGGAAATGCTCAGATTCCTTCATTATCGACGTTAAGTTGTTATTTGAAATAATCTCTAAGGTATTTAATGCTTTTTCTTGCTTTCAAATTAGAATTTAAATGAAATGAGCTTAGCTAGCTGCAGAAGAAAGTTTATTATACACTAGATCCTGGTTTAAGTTAAGTGCAAAATTGTCAAGAGCCGCTTCAGAGATTCGAACTAGATATAATTACATTGATGCAAAATCCTCAAACTATATTTTTATATTGCTGTTAATTCCATTAAGTTGCGTGAGAGAGGGCAAAAAATGTTCGACAGTATAATATTTAGAACCCAAAACCTATTGAAGCGGAAGGGGACAACAAGGAATGCACGGGAATCGAACCCGTGACTTTTCGCACCCGATGCGAAAATCATACCTCCAGACCAGCAAGCCACGCATGGACACAGTATTTCATTATCTTTCTGTATTTAAGATAAATTCCGGCATCGCGTTAAATGAAAAACTATAAAGTTTAAGAAACTTCTGTTAATTGGTGCACTTTAAAATATCCCATGCATATATCTATTAAAAGTGAGGTTATAAAGAATAGAGAGCTGTATCAGCTGGTTCACATTGCTGATATAATTACATTGATGCAAAATCCTCAAACTTTATTTTTATATGGCTGTTAATTCCATTAATTGTCAATAATTGATCACATGCTTCTGGACGCTCGATCCGATCTGGGTAAATTGTGAGCATATATGTAGCCTCCCTGATCATCTCTCTACTTGCAGTGAACGGAAAGATGCGATTTACATAAGCAGCTAAATAAGCGATTCTAGTTTTGTATAAAAAAATTGAATATTGATAACTTAAAACTTTTCTTTTTCTTTTTCTTTTTTTATACTCTAGTAATCTCAATTGTTACGTTTCATACTTTTCATTCTTATTGTGAATCAGATCATAGACGTGGAGTAAAGGTAGTTTTTTATAGTAGGCGTTATTAGCTGTCTATATAAAATCCACGCTTGATTCCATGTCTTTAATATCGAGTCTATTTATAAATCAGTATTAATTTGTGCACGCGTTTGTAGACGGAGTTTTCATAAATACTTCGTTTACTACCTCTCTCTCTGGATTCAACTGAAACGGTGTCGGAATGCACGCTTCGAATATCATGAAAGGTTATTGTATATTGATATAAAATTTGGTTTTCGCTAGCATAGCACAGCATTCCATTGCTTTTCTGCAAAGTTCTTATGCATAAAGATTCTATACATGTATTGGTGTAACTTCCATGTTGTTTACAGTAACTATTGACTACAATAGATCAGAAAACTCTCGACGACGCTTCGACCTAGAAAATTAACAGCAATTAACTGAGACTCGTGCAATTTACAACCCCAATTTTAACAGTCTTTATTTGATATATAAGTATATAAGACATCACCTTCCCCGGTATCACCAATTTTCATTTGCACAACTCTAAGGTCAGTGTTGTTAGTAGCAACGCTACCAAGATAATTATATACTATAAAAAAACCCGAAAGCGTACGTCTATTGACGCTGTCAGCAGAAAAATATTTCGGTCATTAAAACGGCAGGAAAAGATTTTCGCAGATGTTCGCAAAAAATAAATAGTCTATTGTTCCCTCTTTGTTGAGCTTTCAATGCTACATGGGAAAGAGGAGTAAGTACAGTTTCACACTGTATACAGTTTCCTTGCTACTACGGGCCGCAGAACTGGACTACATTTCTTGTGATCATCCTGTCTTTTAAGCAAAGCGTATAAGTACAAGTTAACTTTTTACGCATCGTTTCTAGTTTGGTGAACTGGTTTTAACAATCTTATGTAGATCCTTAGCATTATCAATCTGCGATATTTTAATGTTTTACAACAAGTCTAGTCCTTTCCGACTGTCCAGTCGTAGGCCTTTCAGATCACCTGATTCATACCCGAAGATCATCTCATCCTTCGTTGAATCACGCCTAGCCCAGCTGAGGTAAAGTGGTAAACATCCCCTAGAGCCCTAGAGCCGGTTTTCCACTAGCGATATTTTTTGCGCGAAGCGAGTTTACTCCTTTGTATTTGAGCAATTTGTTCCAGATGGGTGCGGTTAAGAGCTCTGGAACAAAAGTAAAATATCGATTCGCGCAAAAAATATCGCTAGTGGAAAACCGGTTTAAGAATATGGTTGTGAAATTTTCATAAAATTTAAAAAATACCGAGGCTGGTGAATATATATGAATTTTACTGGAAATTTTTCTAAATCTAAACAAAGTTTGTTGTTATATGAAAGCGAAAATTCTATTCTACAGAGAGACTTCTAATCATTCGTCATTATTTGCACCACCCGGGATTATTTTCAATCAGGTATAAACTAACTTCACATTAATATAGCTATTCAGTATAACTATGTCAACTAAAATTTTAATGAAATAAATGATTATTATCCCCCAAAAAATTTCCTGCAAATTCCTTTCATCTGTTTAATCATCCTGTAAAACAAAGACAAAACAATAGATCATGTATAAACATGCTTTAATAGACCTTTCTAATAATGACGTCAAACGCGGAAAGTCTGACGACACACGGAATTTGATTGGCTCCACAAAACTATCGAGCTAATCAAACTTCGTGTAAGATCAGACTTTCCGCGTTTGACGTCATTATGAAAAAGGTCGATTAATTCTTTTTGAAATTCGTTATACGATAGTAACGATACTGGCCGCGATAGTATAATTTTATATTAATATGAGGACGAGGGGCGTCAATTAAATTATGTTTTTTTCAATTAAGTCATTCCAATTTCTTGTCATTCAGGAATTTCACAAATCAGCGACGTGCGTAATCCTAACCTGATCTTGGAATCTGATTGGCAGTAGCAGCCTGTGGCATTCAGGATATCTCGATATGGTGTAGGAATTCTTATTTCAGTTATTTGTTTTGTTTTCCCGAGGATTTATTTTAAAATATGCACTAAATGATTACCACTATAAGTGATTCAAGTGATTTTAGTAAATTAAACTGATGAATGATGTTTTTGATTGTTTTTCTGTCACTGCTGCTAAATACGAACAAATGTGATTTTATTGGTAAAAAGTAAATACGTTATTTAACGTTTTGCTTGAACGAAATAGAAAATTATTTTCTCGAGGTCTAAAAATGCAGAAGTTAAGCTATTCTATTATGCTAATATTTTGGTGTTCATTGACTGTGAAAACAATGAATTTCTGAATATATCAATAAATATTTAACAATTAGTCGCTGAAGGCCAGGTGATTAAACGCCTATATTCACTGAGCCGATGGCGAAGTAAATTAAGGCTTTTATTATATGTGTATAGAGATTTATGTACAGTAGAATGAAATAAAAATCGTATTTTACTGTGTAAATTAATTTCATGCAATTTGATTGGACGTACGATGTTTATCACTTGTGAAAAAATGCCATACACAGCTTTTGATTGGACGTACGATATTCTTCGTCCGATTTTTTCGTACGATATTCTTCGGACGTACGATATTCTTTTGATCGGACGTACGATATGGCGTCGAAATATAGGAGTGAGATTCAAAACATAATTCTCATATTCAAGATAATTTCACATTCAGCACATTCTCAAATCTTTCGGAAAAAATATATAACTGCTTTTGAACAAAATTACAAAGAAACTGAACGGTAATAAATATGTTTTGATGCATAAAATTTCAATTTTTTTGCTCGCTGTGTTTTTTTTATATTTAAAGCGTGTCATTGTCAAATTGATCTCTATACACATTTAATAAACAAATTACTTCATGGTTGACTCGTTTGTACGATTTTTATTATGAACTCGTTGTAAAAGATCGCAAACTTACTCGTTCGTTTTGGGATTCTTCACGTAACAACTCGTGCAAAAAAACATAAAAAAACATACGCACTCGCCAACCATGAAGTAATCTCTATATATAGTCACCGAGCCTTAACTTTCTTAGTATAAATTTCGAGGATATTTGAATTATGTTGTCCGGTTTCCAAGTTTTAAGTGGCGGATCAAGGTGTATAGGCTGAGCCTTTAAATTCAAAATACTTCGTTAGCAACGCTATTGGTTTTAAACTTCTAAAGAATATTTTTAAATAAAAATCAACCAATGTGATTGCAAGTTCGAGATGTAGTAATTTACTCAGCCTTCACCCTGGATCCACCACTGCAAGTTTGGAGTAGTTCTATAAAGTGCCAACAGTGAATCTGCCAACAGTAAATGTATGATTTTTGTCGTTTATTCGAGATTTTTAGAGCATATATATAAGTACGTCACAGTTCACCTTTGATAATAAGCACTATCAGAGAACGGACACGGTTCTTTGGCGTTGGTTGAAGACGAATCACAGACTGTCCATTTATCTTGACCGTTCGGTTTGTATTACCATCGACTGCACTCAAGATCAACGTCTTTTTTGTCTTCCACTTTTTAGTCATGAGCGCTCTTCTTGTTGGTTTCAGATCAAATTTCTCCAGCTTGTCAGACACATTTGCAGTGACAGATACATCGCCAGGATAAATATTTACGAGCAAAAACAACAGAAAGAATTTATTTTCGTCTACAATGAGAGAAAAAGAAAGTGATGAGTCGCTTATAAAAGAGATTCTAGTATGCATTATTTTCTTGATTCTTAATCAGCGATTAGTTGACAAGTTAATGATTTTTGTGGAAGTAGCATAAGTCTAACAGAAAAAGTTAAAGGATTTCAATTTTAGCCCCCATGAAATCTAAACCACATTATAATTATTGTAATGCTATTTTCAAGCGGAGTAAAGATGGCTAAGGATGAAATGTATGTTACGGCTGTAATTCCAATTACCACAACTAGGTACAATTACGATATCTGCTATCATGATTTACTTGTTCACCTTCACACTGGCTTTGATCAATGGCACCATGGTCAGCAGTTACAAATCCTTCAGGGCACTTGTTGCAAGATATTTGACCCGGAATTGATTGATACAATCCACGAGGACAATTACTGCATGTTGCAACGCCATTTATCCTTGTCCCATAAGATCCAGGTGGACAGTCGGCTATGAAAAATTTTGTTCCAAGATTAAATTATAGGACATTTAGTCTTATGCTCTACTGATGCTAGACTTTTGAAAAGCTCTTTTGAACTATACGTATAAAGATGTTAACTTACCGCATTTGTAATCATTTTCAACGAGGAACTGGCCCTTTGGACAAAACAAAGACATTCCTATTATCCCCAGAGAATTTTTCGGGGAGAAAAAACTGGAATTATCCAATGAGAATGAAATATCGCCAGCATTGGTATAATTTCCTAGTTTACCGATCTGTCCTTTAAGCCTGGAAGTTGAGCTGACGATTTTTTTAATCTGTTGTGGTGGTGCAATGTGTTCTGCGCTTGAGGTAACGTTATCACCAATTATGCTAAATGTCCAATCACACGTATCTGTGCGACCAAATTCGTCTTCACGGTGCAAAATATGTCTACAACTTGTTGGAATTAGGTCTTTAATAATTTTTTCAGGCAGCAGAGTTTTATTAGGGGTTGCCAAACGAAAAGCGAGTGCCTTAGCCAGTGCATCTTTATATAAAATTGAAAAATTGTTCGAAGACTCAGATATGATTGTCAATGAGAGCTTAGCAATTGGTACTGGAAGACTGTACTTCAACACTTTGACAAAACTCTTCTGCGTAATGGCGTTGCCGAATGGATTTGAGACGTTGCAAAAGTACCATCCTTCATGAAAGGATTTTACTGGAGCAAAACTTAAATGAGAAAATGTTTCATTTGGTAATGGCACGAAAGAACCGGACTTCGACTGACTAAACCACCATTGATAAGAGATGTTGCGGGAATCCATTTTCGCCTCACAAATGAGTGTGCCATATCCGGATAGAATAACGTTGAGACGACGGACAGGATAACGAACAATCAACGGCGGAGCACCAATAACAACCACCGTGGGGATTGAAGATGCCTTCGCTACGTGATTCGAAACATCACAAGAATAATTCCCAGAATTTAATGGACTCACATTCTTTATTCGCAATATATTTGCAGTTTGATGTTTTAAATTTTCACCGTTAAGCTGCCATTGGTAAGCGAGAGAATCTCCAGTAGCATTGCACGTTAAAACAAGTGTCTTATTCATACTTAGCTGGATAAATGGCGTTGGATGTTTTGTTATATTTGGCGATCGTGCGCAAACGTCTTCTTCACCAGTCATGTTTTTCAAGGTCTGCAAAATATCCCATGACATTAGCACTGCATCACTGACACTCACATTCGATTGTCGCGTCAAGTTGTTATACATTTCCTCGACATTTCTTATTTCTCGTCGTAGTTTTTCCGATTCAGGCCTGTTTGTGTCCGAAACAAGTTCCAATAAACTGTCTATGGTATATTTCAGACAATCATTAAAACCACTGCACTCGTCAGATAATTCTTTAAAAATGTTTTCCATCGTTACCAGCCAATTCTTAAAGAGCAAAGTAGAGCTGAGATGGACAACATCAAACTCGTTCTTGAGAGCTTCCTGTTGAAAATGTTTTGCCACAGATAGTTCTGGATCATTTGCAAGCACGTTCGAGTAGGAATTGTAGTTTACTACGAGGCCTAGTTCCGACGCTTTCGTATGGTTTACTTTAAAATTTTCAAAAATAGCAGTGTCGTTTATAAAAAAATCCCTTTCTCTTTGCCTTTCCTCTTCAAGAAGTTGCTGATTCTCATAGGACAAATTATAAAGAGACATCGCAGCTTGATACAAGGTTTGCTTGTGGTTTCGAAACTCTGAACATAATCGGTGAAAAGTTTGCAATGTGAAGAATTTCGAGTCATTTGTCGAATTTGCAGTATCCGTTGAGCGTTTCATCCTCGACACACGAGTCACATCTCCAAAATACACACCTAGAATCTCCTTCGCAATGCTCCGCAAAGATCGGTTGAAGTTTGTAAAATCCAGCACAGTGGACACTTGTTTCTCTTGGTTTCCATCAAGAGTCACCTTAATATTTAGTGGAAGCAAGGTAGTATTGCGTCCAGGAATTACTTTCACTGAAAATTTGATTTCCTCTATCCTAATACGCAGTTCCCCAAATTTGTTGACAAGATTTCTCAACATCATTGGCTTTTCCAAAATTTTCAATGTCTTTTTTCGATTTTCCACTGTGACATTGAAAGCTTTCTCGAGGCTACGCACGGCGTCCTGGTATGCTTTCATAACACGTGACGCTGAACGAACTTTATTAAACAATATTTCTCTCTTCATTTTCCAGTAGGATAGATTTTTTCTTGCATCGTCCAAGTTTCCCAGAATTTTCGCGACATTTGTTTTGACCTTCGAAATCTTTTCAAGAGCCTTATTTCTAGCCGTTTCACAAAACTTATTTTCAGTTATGCAAGTGCGATTGACCTCAAACGATGCACAGGATACGGTAGAGCAGCATGATTTTTTTACGCTACTTTTAACGTACCGTTTTTCACAAGACGATTCGCAATCGTAAGGCGAAAGAACGAACTTGAACTCGTAAACTTCCTTAATGCAGAGCTCGTATACGATTTTACATTTCCAGTAACCACGTCGTCTGCTCACAAATAACAATGTAGGACTGTACGAACTTACAGTAAAACCTGTCATGGTAGACTGGTAGTTCGGGTAAATCGTGCGGTACTTCCACGAACCATTAAGGAAACTGAGGGAGGCAGTCGTAGAGACGTGCCAGAGATAGCTCCGATTAAATGAAGTAAATACATAAATGGAGACTGAAAAACCCACTTGCAATATTGTTTTGGGGAGGTTGTGATCCTCCGAGATTCAAATTCCAGTCTCAGCTCCCTATAATGACACGTTGCAGGACACATCCCCATCTTTTCAGCAAATACATATTTCCAACAAATTTCACAACTCTTTCCTTTCCGACATACTTTAGGACACTGTTTTAACTCGCATAGCTCGTTTAACTCCTGCTTTAGCCGCTGGATTTCTTCAGAGTAGTCCCCGGTTAGCTGGAGGAGGTCGTCTAAACGCTTTTTAGCCAAATCCAAGCTTTCATTTACTCTTCTAAACTCCTTCGTCATTTCCACCATCTTCATAACGGAGTGTTCTCGAAGGCCCTGAGCATCATTAAGACGAAATTTCGCTTGTTGTTCAGTTCGCAGAGAAAGATCAAGTCTGGCTTCTAGTTTTCGTAAAAGTTCAGTGCTATATATTTTGAGTTCTTTCTCTAAAATACTGTCAATATTATCATCCGTTTCCCTTAATTTAAAAACTCCTGCAGCTGTGAACCGTTGGTCTTGCCACTCCGTCAACTGTGACTTAAATACGGCAGACGCATCGAACCATCCATGTATTTTGCCTCTAGTACGAAAACGTAGGCCATCATGCGAGATATTCACATTTACACGTCTTTTAAAACCAAGAACGCCCACTCTGGCCGAAAATGAACCCCCAGAAGCAGAAGCTGTTTTCTGTCCAATGTGTAGGTTAACAACTGGATCAGAATCAATTTCAAACATCCCAAGTTTCTTTTGCATTCTGTCTGCATGCCAATAACTTCCACTTAATTCAGCGACAACATCAGATCGCGTACCTTTCGCTGTGTTGATTGAGCAGCGTTTGTTTTTAATCCGCAAGTTTATATTCAAATTGTCGAATCGAAGAGCGCCAAACTTGAGATTGCCATAAAATCTCAAGAAGACGCCACTACTTTTCTCACGATAACGGGAGCCAATACTTTGTTTTTTGGTGTACAATAATGTGCTCAGGAAACATGACATGTCCTTAGTCTGATCAAGTTCAACAAATTTGTTTAGTTCTGTGTTAACAAATGGATCTTTTTTCAGAATCTTTGATAGGAATAGTCCGTTGGAATTATTTTTCTTTACACGAAAACAACTTTCGTGATCCTCCCCTGGAAAGACAATTAAATAACAGTCACCCTTGTGCAGATTCGATAAAAAACCGTATTTGCTGACCTTGCACCATAAAATTTAAATTTAGCGATAAAGCGTAGTATGGGTTAGGCACTGCCCTCAAAATAAATTAACTACATTGTGTAACCTGTATATTTAATATTTTACAATTTGTGATATTGTCACCCAGATACAACCAAATAAAATCCTGTATATAACTAGCTAATTAATACCCCAAAAATATTTCTCGTTTGATGTAGCTAAAGAAAACACCAAGATGGTATAGAAACAGGATAATTAATAAATATATTTATAAAATATTGGTACATACATTATTATACAAAACTTTACCTCCGAATGTTGCATTACTCCTTGTTTGCGGCATATCAAGAGACAACTTTATAAACTTGCCATGTACTTCGAATTCCAAGGTCAATATAATATTGCCATTGAGCTCGACCACCCACTTTTCATCTAATGGGAATTCCGGGATCTATAAAGAAATCGCATTGTAATATAATACTGTTTCTTTGAATTTTTGAACATAAGGCCGTTTAATTCATTACCGGTAATAGTAATACGTGTTAGGATTGTGGCATTTCACACCAAGCAGACAGAAAATATACGAATCAACAAAACTGTCGTTTTTGGGATACTTTGATCAAAGAATTCGGGGTTCTTTACTTCGATATTACAATGATTAGCGTTTTGAGACTATAATATAGACACACTTACTCGCGTTATAGCTGATCCGGAATTGCAATCTCACAAACAATTCTTTGCATGCGATATGCTGGTTCTAGTGCCTCACATGTAGTTTTAAGTGTAGTGTTTTTGTTAGCTAATCATGCATGGTTACAGATTGAGCAAACACAATGGATTCAGTATAGCTTTTGAAATAATGAAAATGAAATTTATAAAAATGTCTCAATAGCTCAGAGGGTTTTCAAAAAAATTTTTTCACAAAATAAAAAACAAGCTGCTACTCACCGTGTCCAAGTTGTCCACGTTAGCTAAAACTGTGCCTTGAAAATCAACACGAGATGTTACGGACTTGGATATGGTCAAGTTCTTAGTCAATTTTGCAACCATAGTCAAGCCTTTTTTGCCAGGGGACATTCCAATCTGTAGAGAGAAAATTTTGAAATTCCAACCAGAATCACGTAGCTTTTTCATTACTGAGAGTTGGTTAATCACATCCAAATTGCGTGGAGACGGTTGCAATATTACGTTATTAGGAGGTCGGCCACAAAGCTCTATGGCTAGAGGGAAACGAGCGTTACGATCATTTAATCCAAACGAAACACGATCGCCATTAACAACCAGATCGATGTCAGGTGAGAGTAGCAAAGAGAAGAAAGTATCATCAGACAACGGTTGTCCCTCGATGAATTCTTCACGGAGACGTCTTCCAGTTAGGTAGAACGCGTGAAGGTCGGTCTCCACTAATGATGTTGAGGAATGATTTCCACGTATTTTGATATCAAGCCACTTGGGAAGACTGCGACGAAAGACTTTCAAAAATGACTTGGTTAAAATACGGTGCTGTACTAGTTCTTTCAAGGAATGTTCTACTGTGGGATTAGCAGCACAATCCTTATCCAAACTCGAAGGATTCTTCGGAATAAAACTATAACCCGTCAAAGAATAAGGTATTTCCAAATTGCCATTACTCAAACTTACTTGACCCTCTGTTGTTGCTGGAAAGCCCACAAGCAAGGTAAGCCAAGATGACGTTGAATATGCACTAATTGTTACATTTGAGTGAGGACACTTGTCAATTTCTAGTTTGTGGCAACCAGATGGAAATTCCATGTTATCGTATGCTGTGAAAACTTCGGGATCCGTTTTCTTGACAGTTTCGACAAATAACGCGTTCGGCTGCGGAATCTCATACCCGGCTGCACTAGGACCTGATAAATAGTAACGCACGTAGTGGAGACCAGGATATCGAACTATCATTGTTAGTGACTGTGTCGTGTTAGAATTTTGCTGGAAACGTAAATAATTAGGATTGAACTCAACCCCAAACCCCTGAGGAGTGAGGATGACGTAATTGTCTGGTGGTGAAGATCGAAATTCGAGCGACTCAACTGGTATACCTGCGACTAATGTTGGATAATCAGGTATATCTATGACACCAATTTCGCAATTTGTTCCTTCGTATCCTGTTTTCGAGCAATTACAAGAGAACTGACGGGGATTTAAGGTAGTACATTTTCCTCCATGTTTACAAGGATTGGGTTCACACACTTTAATTTCTAGAAAATCACAATCACAGAATCAAAACTAGTTCCAAAGATGCACAGCTTTGATTTTAGCAATTATATCGTCGGAGAAGTGTATATTCACAAACGATTTCCAGAAGGTGGTTTCCGTTCAAATGAAAAAATATCCTTACTTCTTACCTTCACATGTTATTTGTGAGGGCTCCCATTTACCTTCCACTGTACAAGCTAGTTTAGAAGTATCGTTAATATAGAAACCATTGTTGCAGCCCCCGCGACATTCCGAGTTAAATCGAGTGTTGCACGGAGAATAAATGAATCCGTCCTTCGGTTCTCTGGGTGCCGGGCAGTGGATAGCTGGAATAGAAAGTGCAATATTTGTTTTATTAAAATATTCTGTAAAAATTATGTACCGAATTTATAACATTCCTTGCGGAATATGTGAATGAATGTTTTTGTGCAAACAAAAAGATGTACCATCTTCCTTGAAAGGTACAAGATATTTCGCCTTTTCTATGCATGGCGCCAACTTAAGAGATGCATTTTTTTCCTTTAAACAGTTATCAGAAGCTAAATTAAAGCCTTATTATTCCACACATTTCAACGCAATGCTAATTAGGTAGTACATATGTATATCTGGTGTCAGGAACATGGGCGATAGTATTTTGCTGGCAAGTTATGTAAAACGTCCTAATTAAATAGCTCAACTAATGTGAAGCAAAATTTAAAGATTATAGTTGCAAAGATTATTAAGCCTTACAGCATTGTGGAAGATTGGTTATGGGTAAGTGGGTTGTAATTTTTTTTTTCATGCATCATTCTATGGTAACTTACACCGCGCCCGTTTTGCTACACTAGATTTATAAAGCGCGTAGAAAAATATATAGAAGAAATATATCAATCATGCATTTACCTTTGCATTTCATCTCTTTTCCACTCCAAAGTTTTGAGGCAGTACATCTTCGTGTATGTGAACCAACTTCTTTATAGCCAATAGAGCACGAAAATGAACATGTATGATCCGTTGTATAACCTGAGCAGTTCTTCTTACCATTCACTGGCGTGTAAATAGGTATACATGGTTTACCTGGTATGCAAATAAAGATTTAAGTCGTCTTGTGGATACACTTAGTGATATAATAAAATTATGATAAATATTCACGCCTGAAATGTGTTTTGATCAGTGAACTAAAATAAGACTGGGACGTTAGCTCTGTGAAAAGTTTGAAGTCAAAAAGTCAAAAAGTTTCGTAGGTAAAATGGCGGTAATTATGATTTTACCTTTGAAATTTCCGCACCGGGGGCCTGGATCATACCTACAAGAATGGCTTCATGATCCGCCATCTTGGCTTCACTCATCAAAAGCTAGCGTTCCAGTCTTATTTGACCTCACTGGTTTTGATTTGTAATATTACCGGTACAGTTTTTACCATCGCTGAACAACTCAAAACCTGTTCTGCATCTGCATTTGTACGATCCCAATGAATTCTCACAAGAATGTTGACACCCATGTTCATTGCCCTTGCATTCATCAATATCTTAATTTAAGGATATCAAAAAGAACAAAAAGGAGCGATGTGAAGATAAATACGTTAATGCAAGTAAAAAATTACAGTGCATTGAACATCACTGAATGATCATGAATTTGAGCGTGATATCGAGAATTATCAATAAAGGCCGGCGACGTTTGTATTATCCACCGAAGACTAGGGATGATTCCAAATTCAAGTTTTGCGTTTTTTTGTTCAGTATTAACAGTATAAATGTTTTCGAGCATTTTTGCTATCAAAATTTTAGTAATGCTTGGGCAATTTCGAGATAAAACAAATTGTAGAAAGATGCTTATAACTCTATTTCGCACACTGTTGCCATGGTGACATAATTTAAGTGTGAAGTAATTGTTCCAAAAACTTCAGATTAATATGTGATGTTTTTTGGTGAACATTTCTCCCCAATACCACGCAAGGTAATAGTTTGGGAATCTTGTTTATGCATCAGTATTGACTTTGGCAAAAACCCTAGAGAGCCATATTAAAAAGTGGGGAAATTTTCAGACAGTGGAAAGCTTTTTATCATTCTGCATCCACGAAGGCTTCGAATACTGACACTTTGAATGGCTTGGTACTGAACAAAGGCGAAAGAAAATACTTGTCATTGTATTATTGAATAACACAGTAAGTATTAATAAGTATTATTGAATAAAATTACCATTACAAATTTTTTGGTCCCAGCCAAGATAATATCCCGGATTACAACTGCATCTAAAACCACCAGCAGTGTTGGTGCATATTTGAGTACATCCTGCCAATTTTTCAGAACATTCGTCAATATCTAACACAAGCAAGCAGAGAATATTATTAGAATTTATTTTTACAAATCGGAAGCAGGCGGGATCATGGCTTTTCCGTGATATATATCTGAGGCTCACTGGCTAGCAGTACAAGTTATATAGGCCACCCACCAATGCAGCGTTTGAAGTCATTTGTGTTAGCTCGATACCCATTATTGCAAGAGCAGGTATATCCACCAGGGTAATTTATACAGTTGTGATCACAGTCACTGTTGTCACATTCATTGATGTCTGTACATGGAAAATAATGTAGTGTTTAAGAATATAAATACCTAAAGCGCCTGCATGATTATGAAAATTGTACAATTTTGAAAACAAAAACATGCGTATTAGTTGATAAGTATCGAACAAACGCCAAAATATACCACACGGGTAGACAATAGCTAAACAATATCCGAAGCAGCCTAGCTAACTTTCGATGTGTAGAGTAAATAGAAATTCGTGTGAAAATACTCCTTTTAGCATGGGTGACTTCAGAAAATTTAGAAATCGTTTAGAACAAAGTCAAGTTCAAACTCAAATAGTTAAGAGGCTGTTTAAAGTATTCCCTTTAAGGTGACTCCCGTTTTTGATGATTTGGTTTAAATTGGCAAGGGGGTACTGAATGCATGTATTTTTCCTAATTATACGTTTTGTCTCCAGGAGACTGTGATTTATGTAGCCTTGTGAAAGTTTTGGTTCAGCGAATATGATATAGTTTTACTTCCCATATGGCATATGCACAATTTTTGTGTTACCTCGACATGTTCTTCTGTCACCATCAAGATAATATCCATGTGGACATGTACATAAATAACTTCCAACTGTATTCTGACAGCCAGCTTGGTAACTACAGCCGTTTTGATATGTAGTGCATTCATTAACATCTGCATATAACAGAATCATCAAGTAACTCGTATATTCACTTTGAAAATAGATTTAAATCGTAATAAATTCAGGTATATTTATATCAAACTTTCTTTGGTTACCTTTACAAGTTCGTTGATCACTACCAGTAAATATCCACTCCCGCAAGTACATCTGTAACTGCCTCGAGTATTTTGGCAACTTGCAGGGTGTCTGCAGCCGTGCGTGTGTTGGCGGCACTCGTTAATATCTAAATTATATCAAAATTCCACATCAAATTAAATTTTCCATGGAAACACGAAAGAAAACCTTTTTAAGCAGGTTATATATATATACATTGTCATCGCTACATTAACACGTTTATACATATTTACATTGTCATCGCAACAGGGTGTTGACAATTTATATATATATAATATATATATATATATATAATATATATATATATATAATAATAATATATATATAAATATACATATATATTTACCATTGCATCTTCTCCTGTAAGGGCCCAAGCGAAAACCGCTTGCACATGTGCATCGGTAACTTCCATCAGTGTTAATGCAGCCAGGTTTATAACTACAACTGTTTTTCCAGGTTCGAGAACATTCGTTAATATCTATAAATACATGGTCACACAATTTAAAAGTCTACAGAATACAATCCTAGGCAATTAATATATATATATATATACATCTTTGAAAATAACTAGTTCATGACCAGTGGCGTAGACAGCATCAATAATTGGGGGCTCATACTGATGTATTTGTGGTAAAAGGACTATAAAAACAAGTTTAAAAGGAATTGATCATACAAAATACAAATATGTGTGGATATGCACCCCCCCCCCCAATTATCGATGCTGGCCACACCATTGTCCATAACAGTTCCTTATCAAAGAGAATCAGCTTTTGTCTTCAAAGCAAGGTTTTAATGCTCGACATTACCACTTCGACATCGTGAACCAGTCCATCCCGAGTTGCAAGAACACGTCCAAGGACGATTACAATGCCCATGACCATAACAGCCGTAGCATTCAGCTAGAATAAAAACATGTTTTCGACGATGAGACTTTTTTCAGGTGAATTTACCTACCCGGATTTTTTCTAATGAGGGTAATTTTGTTTGTGGCATTAAAGGCTCTTTTAGAGGTATCAGTATGATTATTTCATTTTATGATATAAAATGCAGTGCTTTATTGGCAAATCAGCCATTGTAAGAAGCGACTGATATATATAACACATGTGGCAAGCATGTGCATGCGATTATCATGTCTGATACACCAATCAGGAATCAGGTATACGCTCTACGGGGGATAAAAAAACTTTTCAAAAACCCAGTTTTTTATAATATAATAAAAACAACACTCGAAATAAATTAATCCATTATTCCGCACATCCATGTATCATTCACTATTTAAATTATTTTGGGTGTTAACTTAACACTTGGAAGGATGTTTGAGCATGTTTATTTCTATACTTACGTATTGTGCAACTAGATCCACTTTGCTTCCAGCCGTAGCTGCATCTGTAAATTTTCCTGGTTCTTCTCACATATGTGTAAACAGTTTTCCATTTGCTTTTCTGCCGATTACTACAGAATTAGTTAGTTAAGTACATGGCTCAAATTCGTTGCACAAAACACATAGTTATTCCATAGTTAACTAAGTTAAGGCCATGTTACACGGTGCAACTTTTCTTGCAACTTGCAATGCAATTCTACTATTAAGCGGTCTAAAATTTCAGGATCGATTAGGAAAGGCCGTAAGCATTGGCCTCAGTCTCTATCTTGCCCCTCCAGTGGATGTTGTATTGTTGAAAGAGCACTAACTTTATGTTTCGAACCGTCTGATAAAAATTACATTCTTCTGCCGATGGGAGTTGGACATTTTTCTTTTGAAAATTAGTCAAACATGGCTTTGAAACGCTAATTATCACTGAAAGCAGAAATGCAAATTTATCGCAAACTTTTTCTTGTGCAAAACAAGCGCTTTGTTCATTGAATTAATTTTCCATTACACACAACCACTGAAAAACTAATTTTGTTCTTCCATTGGGTTAGGTTTAAGTTTTCACTTACAAAAAGACATTTGAAATATTTCTAGGTTCCTTTTCTGCTATAGTGTTTATGCAACTTACCTACATACCCGTCTTCTCCCCCAACAAAAAAAAGTGCATGTCGTAGTGCACGTTCTGACATAATAATATATTTTATAAGATCTTCCTTCAGGCACATAATATGCTGTATATAATGTCCGAACATTTCGCCTAAAATTGAAGAAATATTGTTTAGAGAATAGACCTTATGCATAATGACGTAACAAGCCGTGACACCTTCATGGAAATCTGGTCTTATTAGTCATGGCGGGAAATTTTGAAGTTTTAATTTTTCGCCGTGACTACTAAAACCAGAATTCCCTTCTACTCCAATTCCGCCGAAATTTGCATACGGTGTCAAACTATGGCCGCGTGAGTTCATAGAAAACTGTATAACACAAAGTAATAAGACGTAATATAATATAACTTTCCATACAAAACGTGTGCAGAAATTTTTGGATTCTTGGCGTAGCACAACGTTTGAAGTAATATAGAGATGACAATTATTTCTCAGAATTTTAAATGTATTTGTGTAAGTGTATATTATTTTTTGAATGCTCAAAATTTTGAGTACATGGTATGGGAATTGCATGACAAAGCTAGATAAGGGAGCGTTTAATTATGGCGTCTGGTAAAAGATGGAACACAGAACACCAAAAATAGATAAAACACAGAACACAAAGATTGAAGACAAGTGTTGAAGCGCAAGATTAGTTATTCATATATTGAGACTTTCTTTTCTTTTTTAATTACTAAGTCCAGACAACACAAAAAATACAATAAAACTAACATAGTATAATTAATAGTTTGAGCTAATTATGTGACGCACATCGAAAGTTTGGTTTAAAGTTTTTTCCATATTGTTCGTGTGAATCCACGAATCGGATGATAAATATAGAATTATGCGTTTGGATCAGTGGTTTGAATCTATGTGATATGTTCAGGAACTGGATACTACCATTTGCGCGAAGCTTAATTGCGACGAGCAGTCTTAAAACGTACGTTTACGTTTTGAAAATTATATACGTTTGATCTTTCAAAACGTACGTTTGACGCATCAAAACGTACGTTTTACCACACCCACATTTTAATTATGTTTTCGCTAATATATAAATTCACACGCTTTGGAGCTTTTCAACCTCATTTTTCACTTTACATGCGCTAAAAAGTTTTTTACATATTAGTACTGCGACTCTATATGCTTACTTTTCCCATAGAATGAAAATAATTTTCTTAAATTATTTAAATCGTTTCCGTACGTGACATAACATGGCATTTCATTTCATTGCCCAAATATGAGAAGAGGATTGGCCAAACTTACGCTTCAAAACAACACGCCGCAAGCTTGACCGAGGAATGCATGGTAGTGACAAGAGGCGTTCAGTATATATTGGCCACGCCCATGTATAGGCCACGCCCATTTGACCTTAAAAATAAGCGTTCCCCCACTTCCAAAATTTGCAAAACATCACTGCATATATCATTTGGATTCACACGCATTTCTATATTAATTTTATTATTGGATTCGGGATTCGCACACAATATGGAAAAACTTTATACCAAATTTTCGATGTGTGTTACATAATTACCTCAAACTATTAAATACTATGTAGTTTTCTTGAAATTTTGGTGTTCCGCCTTTAGTTATATATTTACCGATAATTAAGGCGTGCATGTCGTATTCTCTGATTAATTGAAGGTGTTTGGGGACTTGAACTTAATATCTTAAGGTGCTACACCGTACTCTATATATATCACACATTTTTTGCAATGAGTCCTCAACTTTAAGTTGATAAAAAATTTGTTAGATGAACTACTGTAAAATTTTTTAAAAAATGTTTAAACGTGAGCAAACTCTTTAAATCAGGCACAAACTTTTACTTTTTATATAAATGAGCTCTCGCATATGCTGCCTAATTTATTAATTTAATTACAAATGAAAATTAGCTGAATTACCTAACAAAGTTTTAAAGGAATGAACATTTTTGCAAAGCTCTGGAAAGCTTAAAATAAGTAAGTTTTCTGAAACTTTTAACCCAAATACTGTATCAAAGATTTTTACATGATAAAGCCGGTCTTGATTAACCTTGTAGGAATAAAGAATTGTCGGTCGCGACCATGCATTGTCTTACACACCACACGTCTTTCACTTCTGCTGAGTTTCGTGTGACAGTGTGATCAAAGGTGCCAGTTGTTAGGGTACCTTTACAGGTTCCAAAAATATTAGTGTTTGTCATGAGCGAGGCAGTAGCGTAGCCAGCATCGATAATTGGGTGGGCCAATATTCATATATTCAGGTTAAGAGAGTGTAAAAGCAATTAATTTGAAAGGAAATTAATCATGCGTGTCACGAATATATGAATGTACCCCCACCCAAGTTGTCGTGCTGGCTACGCCACTGGGGCGAAGACAAGCACGAAGGATATTCACATCACGTTCCCTTCGATCGCCGACTACGTCTCTATCTCTACTGATTGGCGGGAGGGATCAATGAATAGTAGGTTATTATAGTACTAATCCCTAAACTGATGCATGTTGTGCATCTTGTGAAATTAATTAGCTTTTTAATCTGATTGTCTAGTGACCTAAAGGTCATTAATTCCAGGTGTATCTAATTTGGATACATCATAACATCATTATTACCACAGGGTGTATAAAAAAACCTGCAACATAATTTGTATGCACGAGATGATAATTAGAATTTCAATAGCTGTGCAGCTAATTACGCTTCTGGGATTTGAAAATACGTTTGCACGTGCAGTACTATAAAAAAAGCACACAAAGTGAATTAAAATTGGTTCGATGGCGAATGGCTTACATAACTCAGTAACAACAGATTTAACAACGATTTAGTCGGAGGCTGAGTTTGCTCGTATATACGTTTAAAACAAGAAATTAATTCTCTCAGTTCTGTCAGTCTTAACTGAGCCATTCGTAATCGAACTCACAAGTTTAATTGGCTATGTGTGCTTGTTTTGTATTCACTTGAAATCCCAGAAACGTAATTAGTTGCACAGCCATTGGAATTCTAATGTCAGGGTGTCCCCAAAAATCCGCTCTATTGAAATCAAGCCTTTGTTAGAATCTGATTGCCTTAATATTATGATAAACCCAATCGAAGGCAAGACGCTTCATTTGAATTCCTCAACCTAATAACTATGCTATTTACACACTACTTCGTTGATCATGCATTCAAATTGAAACAAAAGCTTCATTTCATTAGGGGGGGACTTTTTTGGGGGACACTCTGTGCATATGATCTCGTGCATACAATTTATGGTATACAGGGTGTCTCAAAAAAACGAAAGCCTTTGAAATCACGCATAACAATGTAATTGTTACAGTTTGAATGCCTAAGCACTCTGTTGGGACCCACAGGTGTGTAAATGTTTGCCATAAGCATTTTTATGCATGAATATGATGCAGTAAAATTTGCTCGTACGCGAAAATGATATTTATTAACAATATTTAAATGTGCATCTCAATCACCATGACCTTCGACATGTCCCCTTTCTCTAGCAACACAAGCATTTAGTTTTTACTGAGTTGCATTATATCGGGCTAAAATTCGTGCACACGGCATTCAATTTTAACAATGAGTGATTTCAATAGTTTTTCGTTTTTTCTGAGACACCCTGTAGTGCAGTTTTTTGATGCATCCTGTAGTATTAACTTTGTTTGTAAAGTAACATCTATAAAACCTTTGACCTTTGGGATATACAACAATAAAAATTAGTGAAATCTGGAATTAATAATGTTAAAGTCACCAGAAAAACAAATTTAAAAGGTTGAAACGCAAAAATTAACTTAATCACTCGCCTAATCACTTAATGCATACCTTATTTTTTTAACCTGCACCGTAGAACGAGCACGAACGAATATGCGAGTATGGTAATGTGTTCATTGAAATTATGAAAAGCTTGGTTGGAATGCATATTTAAACATGTACGAATCGATGGAAGCGACGAACGAATGAGCGACAAGAGTCGCTCGCCAGTACTGAACCACCGCAATGCTTGTTGTATATTGATGTGTGTCGTTGCGCTGATAGAAGAATACATTTCAGCTCATTCAGTCAGGGATGGCAGCAGATAGTCTTAACTTAAGGCCGTATAATAAAGAAGATATGCACAGACAATTATTAGCATTGAATTGGGTATTAGACATGAGGTACACTGGGTATCAAATATGCAATACACATAAAATCTCACTTCTTGTGAAAAAGTTGCGATCGCAACAACCTTGTAGCAAGTTTGCCAACTTGTTGCAATTCATTTGTTTTGTCAAGTTTTAGCAAGCTTGTTACTAATAAATTGTTGTCAAGTACTATTTCATGATCTGCAGCTTGATAGCAAGTTGTTGGAACAACCGTTGAAGCAGAACTAACATAGCCGTAGAAGTCATTAAGCTTGTAGCACATCTGCTTGACAACAACTCAACAAGATGGGACAAGCCGTGCGAACAAATCTTGCAACAAGCTTGTTCCAACAACCTCGCTACAAATCTGCTGCAGATTGTTACAAGTTATGCGTTTTTGCGTGTGTACATGATAGCGCTAAGTGAGTTCTCATTGCTATATTTGCATCAGTTGCGTAGCCAGCCCGGCAAATAGAAATTTAATATATTATTAATTAGCATTAAATTTAACTCGACTTCGTGTGGTTATTCGAAATTTCCATAATATGCGGGGTAAAACGTAGTTTTAAATTCCAGGAGCATAGTAAGTTCCACGGCCACAATAATTGAAATGCAAATCAGCAGTAACTGCTGTGCAAATTACGGTTATTTCAGAAACTACCATTACAGTTCAGCAATCATCGTCACCCTGTTACATGCATAGTAATATTTATAACCTTATACACGATATCAGGCACAGCACAAATTACATAACAAAAATATGCATGTTATGGCTTAAATATAGAAACGAATATGTTAATTAAACTTGTTTTAGCCAATAGAAACCGTGAATCGTACTCTCGTTCACTTAATGAGGCTAATCGTTCGTTCTCGTTCTACGGTGCAGGTTAACTAATAGCAGAATACATGCAATTGCCTTTGCAGACGGTAAGGAATCTTCCCTTTCGTAAAGGGTCTTTTCCAGTGCCATTTCCAACGCGGCGCAATTTTTTAAAGTTTTTCGCTTTGCAAAAGCAAATAGATTTTAACCTATCATAATATTCTTGTAGATTACTTATTGCCATGATACATTTTAACTCCTCTGACGTCTATAGATTCCAAATTTTGCTTCCAAAATATAATTCATATGCTTCTAAAAACTTAAAATTCGAGTCGCGTTGCCACTTCGTGTCCCTTTTGTGTCGACCTTTAAGCTCATTTTCATGCACTAGACGAATCTATTCGCGGGAACTGATGAAAAGTAGAAAAACGGTTTTTCCTTCTCCCGGCAGATTTTTAGCAACCCAATCACGTTATATATGAGTTCGTGAAAAGCGCACCATTCCATGTATGCTACAGGCTAAATTATTATTCATTGAATGACATTTGTTTGTTGAGAGCGGGTTGGCGGTATTATCAAGATACCTAATATTAAATGCTATACCCAATATTAAATTTATATACCTTTCATATTTTAAACATAGCTATAGCTCGGCTAACATACCCATATGGACTTAAAGAAACTCCTCGCGACTGATGCATATTCACCAGGATTACCACAGAAGCCAACAGTAACAAACCAGTGCTGGCCATTGTCTGATAAGGTAAAAGTGGAATAGGAGACAAAGTTTTTTAATAACTGTGATAGTGAAAAATATCCTCGGTTCACCAAATCTCGCGAATGCCAACTAAAACATATAATAGTATGGATCCTGTTTTCATGTAGCTAATATAGTATTGGATGGATTTACATCCGCATAACATGTTAAAAGACATGCATGTTTGATAACAAAGTCGTCAATGTTTCTTGGAAGAACTGCTGTAATCTGAAACATTTGTGTGTACATACATAATATATGTCTTTCAATACAGCCTTAATTGCTTGTGTTCTCTGTCAGTGGCGTAGCCAGCCTGACGATTCAGTCATGCTATGCGAATTTTATGTTTTATGTTATTATCATTATTAATTTCTTTAGAAATTCATTTTTTTCACAGTCAATGATCACCAAAATATTAGCATAGCATGACTAAATTGTCGGGCTGGCTACGCCACTGTTCTGAGTAACTTCAAAGTTTAAGACTTTTATTACTGGGTAGAGATAACAGCCATAACACTATGATGCCTCTTATGGACTATTGTGGTGAGCTATATGGAGGTACTTTTGATTCCTTAAATTCGTATACACAAGTTAGCTAATAACTACAGTATTGCACAATCTCTGCTGAAGTCACATCACGATCGCTCAATCACAATTTGCGTTTATGTCGCAAAGTTACGCAAAGTATGTAAAATAGCTAGTGCCATTAAAATAGTTCTAGTGTTGTCTCGAAAACGTTTACAATATAGCTAGATTAAAGCCCGTTTTCCATAAGCGAATTTGAGATCGCACACGCAGGATTTGGTCGACCGACTAAAATCGTACGACAAAAATGCGTCGTGTGCGTCCGGCTTTACTCTGTCTTTATACTTGTTTTATTAATATTGAATATCAAAAACACAAGATGTTTATCTTCGGAATTTGTTTTATATTGTATTTTCGGAAATTGTCTGCTTGCCGCGATTAAAGCGGCTGGTTACTTCTTGAAAATTGAAGCATTTAAGATGCCACAGGCTATTTTCAAAGCCGAACTAACTTTGTTGCGTATATAAGATGAACTATTTAACGCATTCACACACTTCAGAGCATGTCACACCCCCCAACCCCAATTTAGGAATTTTGTTTATATTTATCATAATACATTCATGTTGCAGCACGCCTGTTATGCACTGATAGATTTAATCAACAAACATAAGTAGCTACCAATACCATATACAAAATACAGCATACTCAATTAAACGACCGACTTTGAAGAGATTATTTAGATGACCTTATGTGATCTCATTACTGTATAGCATACAGTGTATCGACGGGGTATATTGTCCGTGTCTGTCACCGATAGCTGTATATACGCAGTGAATATAATAGAAATCCCCACCAAAGCATGAAAGTCGATGCTTATATACATCAACTTATGATGACCTTAAGCAAATAAGACCTGTTATTTATATAGCATGCTGGATTTCTCCAACAAAATTTACACAGCAATAATTCAGCCATAATAAAGAAATTACAATTGATGTGTGATGGGACAATGTTTCCTCGCACTTGAAAAACGTAGAGCAAAGTTATTATAACTTTAAATCAGTAGTCCGTAAGTAGTTTAGAATAGGCTCATAAGATTTTACTGTGGACGAACAAGGAATGATTGATTGATAGTTCATTAGCATTCGTGAAAACGTGTACCGGATGGTATGAATCATGAAGTTGACAGTTTTTATTACTACATGTCCACTTCAAGCGCCGCAATTTCAGTAATAATCGCGTTGTTGACATTCATATTATTCATGTTCTCTTGAATGTCTTGCAGTGTTGAGTCTAGAAGTATAATTGGGGGGAATGGGGGTGTTTATTCATCTATGCAAAAAATTCATTCGGACACCACTAAATATGTAAATAAACACTCCCCCAAAATTCAGTTTCAGGCATTGTGTCTTGCAAAGAACCAATCTTCAGATATATAATACAAAATTAGGTTAATATCACCTCCAATGTTTTAACTGTTCGAACTTTCGGACAAGCTCTGCGAACACAATATTGCATATGTTGTTCGCTGACACTACTAAAAATTGTGAGCTTTTGTGGCTAATAACAGATCCAATGAAAATCATCAAGAGACATTTATCAAAAACAAAAAGGATTGCTCAGCAAGATTAAAAGGCGAAAAAGGAACGATTTATACTCTCTATGCATAAAGCTTTGAAAAGTTTTAAATTGGTACGTGTCTATCGTATAGTTGTTTATAATATTCTGTGTTTGCTGTGTGAAGAAGGATGCATTTGTATGTATATGAGCTTGATACAGTACTGCCCAGAAATAACCTAACAAAGGCTAGGTCAAACCTCGGTTTGATCGCGGTTGAATCGCCAAGGTCAGACCGAGGTCGAACCGCGGTAAGACGGAGGTTAAACGTTGGCCTAACTCGGTGTGACAGACATTTTAAAAGATCTTAGCGATTTACCCACCTACGTTCGCAACCCAAGCTCTTATATTCGCGGATGGCTCTATTTCAATTTTTTCGGAACTAATGTCAAAGAACGTAGTGTCTCCCCAAAAATCGGACGTGACTTCAGTGTCACGTTGGACTAACCACAAACAAATGCCTCTTAATTTTAAAAAATTATGAAAAAATATCCCAACCCAAATTTCCAGACTCGATCCAATAACTATTGGGATTAACAACAATATAATCATAGAGATCACCTCCGCCATTCTACTCGAAGTCACATTTGATCATCATTTGAAATGGGATAGACAAATTCACACTATTTACAACATAATATTCTCCATTCTCTTTCTAGCGAAACGTATATGTAGTAACCTTACTTTTCAATTCTGTATTAAATTTTATTATGCATGAATCTAGCCATGCATATCTGCTACACATCTGTCATACTGTTTCACACTCTGGGGAAATGCAAATAAAGAATTAAATTAAACGAGCTGCAAGACTAATTCCTGCACAGCCAATCGAAGTGCCATCACTATCTTTAATATGATCAATATGAGAAAAATTCTTATCGTATTCAACCCTTTCAAAACGTCGTGGTCACAAGATCTACGAAAATTGTTTGTTTACGTTCGTGACTCTCATTCAATTCAATTCAAACTAGATCGACCACCACAGACTTAAAAGTTCCATTATAGTTAAGACCCCGAGGGAGCAAATTTTAAGATATCCTATAGTAGTGTAAGTTTATTTCAATCTTTACCATCTAAGATAAAACTCATTGAAATTTGAAAACGATTCACTTCACAGTTACAAAAACGAGCAAAAATATGTAAATAAGACAACTTTGACTCCACAATTATTCAGGATTTTCCTGATTGAGTGTCGTACAAACGGAGCTGAAGGCGTTGTTTCGAAGCCTGGAATATTATCGCGAGTCTTTGTGCCCTCAATAGAGATGACGGAAACTAATTGCTAAAAGAATATTTACAGATTGGCAGATGACGTTATGTTGAAAGGTCATATATAAGGATCAAGTTTTAACATAGAGTTTTAACATCAGATCACCCCTGATGACACTAGACTGGTCGGAGCGTCGAAACGTTTGGTGGTGAATGTAATCTTTGTGTGGTGATAACTTTCATTAATCAAACCAGAGTAGCAAAAATGCGAAAGCTCAACATTTTTTAGTTAGACTATATATGAAGTAGGCCATGTCAATAAATTCAGCTGTATTGTAGGCAAGCATCTCATTCGTTGTCAATGTTATGGCAATGTTGCTTCTAATAAGATCGTGAACAAATTTCCGAAAAACAATGTTCTTTCTTCTAGAGGAGCGGATAAGCGTAAAAAAAGCACAGAATCGGATGGTCAATCCGCTCATTTGACTGGTCAATAAGCCATATTTACAGTCATTTGTGGAGTGGCCGGACTGATTTGCACATTAGGGAGTGAATTGTGATTGGTAGGACTCAATGGATTGTTTTGCGGGGTCGGGACGGCTGCAGTTGACAGCTCTTGATAAAAGTAAAACGCCGATCGCGCGAAAATTATCGCTCTACACGAACTTTTAACCGCGTTCGTTTCTATAATTATGGAAATGCAAAATTTAAGTAAGTCAGGCTTTCTACTTCCAAACTCGTATTATACGAAGGATTGAAACTTTATTGTTAGAGGTTGTTTTGATTAAGCGGACGTTCGAAGTGCGATTTTACACTGAGATGACTGATTCTTAATAAACTTTATCAGAAAATCCTTAATAAATCCTTCGAAAATCCTAGGCCACTTTCTCGGGTTGGATCCTAGCCTGAACACAGACCTTTTTTTCGCCTTTGCGTCTCCCCATGATTCAACACGTAAAACGAGTTTTTATTGATTGTTAAACTGATTTTATTAGATTTAACAAAGATTTTACAAAGATAACAAAGATTCTTACTTAAGGTAATGTTCTTACAAAGATTTAAGACTTACTTAACAGAATAACACATGCAATTATTTTGAAATTGATAAATATTAACCTACACACTTTTTCTACTGTATATTATAACTTACAACACACAGAAATAACGTCAATAAGATTAAGAACTCCAAAATATTCTTGTTACCAAGAACAAAATGATAATTTCCCTGTCAAGGGTTATACTGAAACGGAGAGCTGAAAGGGGAAGATAATCGAACATGATTTTCCCCCGATATTTGCGACCGTATAAAACGTTTAGTGTAAACGTCATGTTTTTTAATCAAGTACTCAATCAAAGTTTCAATCACAATTCATAAAAAAAGTTTTTAAGAGTCAGAACGCAAGCTTTTTTCAAAGCTGAATTTTGATCTCCTCATCAAAGCGTATCACCTTGTTATCAAAAACCTTGAGGTCTAATTCTTCTCCAACACTTCCTTCGACTCGGGCATCAGTTTGTCGAAACACAATTCCCCTGGCATTATTGTTGCTGGTGATGAATACCTTCTTCTTCAGTTCGGCCTTTTTGAACTTGTGCTTGCGTTTCACACAATAGTAAATTGCCAAAATGATTAGCAGAACGAGAAAAACAGCGACGCCGACGATAACATAAAAGATAGTTTCATCAATTCCCAAAATTTCGTCATCGCCTGATCCAGGTTGTTTTTCATCTGCAGTAAACATAGAATTTTAAGAACATTTTAAGGTCAAATGCGATAAATCGGATGTGAGACTCAAAAAGTTTAAAGAATTCTAATCACGATACCGAATGAGGGTTACTAATTCCTCTCGCAGATTTAATTACACCCAGAAATTGAGGTTGAGCTTAAAACCTTTTCGAAATTGTATTTTAGGTCATGGAACGTCCTGTGGCTGCAAAAGGCACACAATTGTGAAACTCTTTCTAATTTAGAAATAGAGAACATTTTCCGGTTTCTATACACTTATGGAAACACGTTTTCCGACCAATCAGCGCGTGTGTACTATAAATATAATATTATAAAGTGCCTTTTTAAACGGATGAATTGCTATTTCCAGCATTTTAAGGCCGGACAGACTTGCATTTTAAAGCACGCAAGTTGTGTATTACGTGCATGCAAATGTGAATTTCGGAGAAAATATAGTTATGGCATTCTTTGAAAATATTCGTCAATTGCGTTTTCATTGCATGCGATTATCATTCAGGCCATATAAAAATACATCCTTATCATATATTTTTAAAATTATTGATTTCAAAATTTACTCGCCGTATAGAAAATATTCTCTATAATCTTGCAAGTATATGCCTCCGGCTCCCCTTTTCCACTGTCCCCCAACTCCCAAATTAACCGACCCCCCAATTCCTGCTCTCCCCTTTTTAAGATAGGGCAATGACAAACAATAATAAGTAATTAAGTAATAATCAAGTAATTAATCAACAATTAATAAATGATCAAGTAATTTATCACACCCTAGACATATAAAGAACGCAATATATTAATAACTATCAATTTCAACTATAACTATCAAAATATACTCAGCTAAGACGGAACACTCGAAAATTCAGAAAGATTTTTGAAAACAAATATGTATATTACTCAGCAGGCGTTTCCCCGTCGTTTGGGGCTCTTCGCATTACCCGCATTTCTAATGATGCCCGCGCCAATCGTGCCTAATTTTCCCACCTGCTCGAAGTATTATGAAACGGCTGTGGAGGAGGTAGCTGAGCAAACAAAGTGTTTGATTGACTTAATGTATTGTTTCATTGCTCTATTGTGTTGTTCTCAGTATATGTATAAACGCGAAACGTTCATTATCATTTTCTTAAAGAACGAAAAATACCACTCGCCTAATTTTAAAAACGATATCTCAAAAGTAAAAAAGCTAACTTGAAAAAAATTTCAAGGCAACATCTATCCACTTTTTCATTGCGACTAACTAAAATAATTTAATTTCGTTTACCCTAAGTAAATAAAATAGCGACAGTTTTAATGAGATAGCTCCTAGAAGCTTTACATTGGTTGTTTGTCAACTTATTATTTTGTAGTAATTTCAATTATTCTAGTTCAGCGCAAAGACAAACTTACTTAAAGCGGTCTGCAGTCAGTAACTTTGAATTACAGCTGCATTAAGCTTTTCCCTTCCTATATCACTAAGCAGGTCACTCTGAGTTAAAAAAGAGTTTATGAATATGCATAGTACAAAGAAAAGGCACAGCCAATGATGGAAAATGGACTATTTTTGTGAACACGATTACTATAACCAGTTTTTAACGCTAGAAGGATGGAATTGGTGTTTTTCGTTGAAAAATTTTTTTGCTCGCAGTTGAACTCGAACCATTGAACGTTTTGCACGCTATAAATCACGATCTATCTAAAATACAAAGTCGCTATCTCTCTTAGAATGGACGGAATGCAACTCTAACTTCCAGTTTCGCCTCCAATTGCACTAATGTCTTTAAAGTCAAGCATGAAAAGTTTATCAACTAGGTTTTATTATTACTTTTAGAGTTATCTTGCTCAAATGTATCGGGTACGAGTTCAGTTCGTTAAGAAAAGCAAAAAAAGTTTTGCATACATTCATAAACTATACAGAACAATACAATAGAGCAATGAAGTCAATCGACCCTTCATTATAAAACTTTTCGTTTGATTCTGAAATATTCAGAATAGATTGGAAAGAAATTCACGAATGTAACCCTTGCAATTTCTAAAGCGGGATAAATCGTAATTTTTGTTTCAGTGGACCACCTTAAACTGTAGACTACTGCAACAAGCAATTCTAAAAGTTGAAATGTGCATTGCAGAATGTTAAGTATACTAAAGAGTACTAAATACCAAAAGTACGCAAAGTATAATGAGAAATACAATGTATGAATTTAGCGAGAATTAAAATCATATAGCAGCCCATTTTGCTCATATGATGGGTGTGATTTTTTTGTAGTTTCGTGATATCATTTATCAACTCTACCTGTGTTCGAAACTTTTATTTATCTCTACCGAGAACGTCAACGAAGGTCCGACGGATGCCTTCATGTCTAAACGTCTAGAAGTGTTTTCATCTATATTAAGCTGTTGTTACACTAAATGCGATTCGAAGTTGTTAAAAGACGCTGCCATGCTGGTCTTTGGTTATTTAAGAATAACTTTTGTTACCTTTCGCAGCATAAATTTGGAACGTCGTATTCCCAAGTTTTCCGGTTTCCGCCGCTTCCTTCAGAGGTTTTAGAGGATCTTTCACTTTCTTCTCCGAAAATATGAGCGCAAAGGCAACAATTATACTGCCCTTTCTGCTCAAAGCGATAAAACACCATATAAAGAAAAGTGTAAAAAGGAAAAAGAAAGTAAATTCAGCTACTGGGTGTGAAGGATTTTGCGCAATTATTTCCAAAACACAAAGAAAGGGACAATAAAGCAAGGAACGTAATGAAAAATGTGGAAACATATTCACATTCCACGTGCCATTCGTTCGCCTGTAAAACTAGGGGTCCCTGCGTCCCTGATTAAAGGAATACTAAATTGTTTTCCGTGCAGGATAGCGTGATACTGAACGCGGGGTATTGCAAAACACTCGGAAAGCCCTGATTTTTTTCTACATAGATTTGCAAGTTTCCCTCGCTTTGGCTACACCCCTAGTTCTCCGTTTATTCAAACGAGGGAAAAATACGTATTTTGCTAGCTGATATTTGAAATATCATGCTTCACTAAACAATTGCCTTAAGTTCACTATGCAGCCTAATTGACGAAAAGTCTAGTGGATTCCGAAATAAAACAAAATACCTGAATCTTTCTATAAGAACATAGCTAAACCCAGCGTAACTTCTGTAAACGTCCCTTATCTTAATAACATAAATAAGAACTTGTTAGGTAAAGCGCAGAAAAATTCATACACGAATTACAGCCAGCATTACCGGTGGATTAACCAATTTTGGTGAGAATTACAGAAAACTCGTTCTCATTGTGTTATCATATTACTTATCATACTGTATATCATTATAATTTTACGCAGTGCTCACTATCCTTATCTTGCCCATGTCCACAAAAAAATAACATACGAGCTTGTAACTAAATTCGTCAACAAAGTTAACAAAATTTGCCAACTTCGCAATTCACAATACTTTACCACTATAGTAATATATTTCTCTCTCGTCGCCTAGATCTAAGATTAGTCTAGCGCGTAAGGTTCCTCGCCCACCACTCATTATTTTACCTGCGGCCGTTACTGAACACTTTCATGATTACTAACCTCAACAGTCAATCGTGACTCGAGATTTTTATACACCATTGAAGTTTTTATGTTTAGTTGTTCATCCCATTTTCGATTGGTCAACTTCATTTCAGACCTCACCGTGCTTTGGTCTACATAAGAAAAAGTTTAAAATCCATTAACGGAGTAATATTAAAAATATTGTTGTAGTGTCACTGTCGTGAAAGGTGATACATCACCAATCATATGTTTGTATATTTCCGAAATATTCAACAACTATTCGCGGAGGGCAAGAAAATCTGCTTGGGCCATTTGATTGGTCGTTTTTCTTTTTAATTAATTTTTGCAGGGACTGTTTAAAAAAATATGCCTGTTTCCACTGGCTTGAATCGTTTAACTAATTTGTTGGGTGGGGCATTTCGTTACCTATAGTAACGAGAGAAAAATAGATTTCACTGAAAGTTCAAGTCTTTCGGAAACATTTTGTGGGGATTCTAAATGAATGAATGAATGTAGCTATTTCTATAGTTACCCAGTATATATAACTTATAAGTTAGTATAAATTGCAACCAAACCTTCGGTTTCTTCACGTTTACACTGCTTCCCATCTCCTTCAAACAAAGGCGGGCATTGTTCACAAGAATATCCATCGGAATTTTGATCTTGTGAACATTGGAGACCTGGAAAACATGGCAGCTTATCACAAGGATTTCGGCGTAACTCACACAACGATCCCGAAAATTGCTCATGGCATTGACAATAATAATCTGTTGGTAGCACAGGATATGTAACATTCTGCTTTTGGTAACATTCACCATCGTGTTTGCATGGACACTTCATGACAAAGACTTGAAGACGTAATAGACTTTTTGCACCCATTTTGTCTTCGACTTGTATGTAAACGGTTCCATTTTTTGTGACATTTGATATCTTGAGCATTCTTTTCGTGATTTCCGCTGTTGCGAATGTTCCATTTGATAACAAAACAAATTTCAAATCATGTCTTTCGTCGTCTTCCGCATTTAGCAGAATTTCAAAGTCTTTATTTAAAATTGCATATACCAAACTTGGGGTGTCAAATTTCGGGGGCTGATTTTCTAAAAACGAACAATTGAACAGGTTTAGTAGTCATCCGTCAAGAGATATTCAACAAATTCTATTAAAACAAATAAAGAAACTCTGAATTATTAGTGGAATAGCTGAATTTTTAATTATGGCGATAAGGCATCTACGTGTATATCTGCCAAAATATATTCGCCGAAATACGGAATACAAAAATATTGGTCATTAGGTAAAATAAAAAAAAACTTGGATGTCAAACAAAAACTTGAATTTTGGTGGACATATTACGTCATACCTATGCCTTCGTTAATTTTTCCAAATGCGCACGATTCAAACCCGTTACTCTAAACTTAATGGTCACGTTATACTTACAACATAGTTTAATTGTAAGTTTCTGCAATCAGCAAACACGAAATTAAATACGTCATTGAAACGTAATAATAAACACAATATTTTGCCGTTCAGACGAAACAGTCGAGGTTAGTAAGTTATTTATCATATGGAACAACGTACAAGTACTCGCGCATACTGTGGTCAGCGCTAGACCAAGCGTTCGGTACTTAATGAAATACACAACATTTTCCCCCTCTTTTTCTTAAAACGTGAATGTTTATATATACTGTTATATAAACTCGACTGAATAATGTTACGTTGCCTGGCTTTTGCTCCCAAATTTAACTCCACCACAAGTTCATTGCGTCACGCATTCTCAATCAACCGGCTAGGGGGTTTTCTTTCGGGACGTGGGTAACGCGGTTCGAACACAGCACTTGCAGTCCCCTTCTCTGGTTCGTTTGTCGTAGTTGAATCACGAGTCTGCGTCCATTCAGCATCAGAAACCGATGACTGGAGCGGTAAGTCCACTGGAATAGGGTCAGGCTCCGTTGGAAGAACTAACCTGGGATTTTCTGGATTGTCCATATTTGATGGGGGACAGGCGCGAATCTTGTCGATATGTCGTTTCAACGGCATGCTTTCAACTTGGACGGTATAAGTGACCGGTCTCAGTTTGTTTAACACCACTCTTCGAATCCACGATGGCTTCTTTGGGTTCTTCCGGTAATCTCGAATCATGATTATATCTCCTACTTCATGCAACCTGGTCCTTTTCTCTTTAGGCATCGATTTTTTTATTACTGGTTCTCCTAGAGAAGGTTTACACACGTCTAATCTCGTTCTCACCTTCCTTCCGAGAAACAGTTCACTTGGTGTAACTTTAGTGAAACTGTGCGGTGTGGTACGGTACCATCATAAAAACGATGCCAGTTTCTGATTTAATGCGCCCGATTCAGACTCCATAGTCTTCATGTCTTGTTTAAAAGTACGAACTGTACGTCCAGCCTCCCCATTTGAACTTAGGTGATACGGTTGCTGATCTAATATGGCGAACTCCATTGTTTTTCAAGAACGTCTGAAATTCTTCAGCTTCCGACACTAATTCTTTGGGAAGCCCAAACGATGAGAACCCGTCTTCGATTTCATCTTGATGACGTCTAACCATTTGGAATGATTATCGACCACGATTAAAAACATTCCCCACAGAAACGGTCCGGCGTAATTGACATGGATACGTTGCCAAGGTGATTGTGGCAACTGCTCTCTGCAGGATTCACACGTCGCAACTTTTCTCTCGATGTCCAGGTTTGGCCACCAAACATGTAATCTCGCAAGGGCCTTCATACGTACCATGCCAAGGTGATTTCTATGTGATTCGTCAAGAATTTCTTCACGATATCACTCGAACTCCAAGGAGCAGACAATCTTCCTCGATAGAGATTTTCTCCCGCACCCGATAGTACGCTTGTAATTCGCTGTCGGCCTCAATTCGCGGCCAACCACACCTGGTATATTCCGTGACCCTTGTCGTTCCTTGTAGCGCTGGCCATTCAAGTGGCGGATATTGGTAAACCGTTTGCTTGCATTTTTTTCCATAAGTTCTGCTTCTTTGAAAAAGACATCGTCCGAATTTTCGCCTGATGCAGCGAGAGGGAAACGTGACAGAGTATCGGCATTTCCATTCTCTTAAGTTGAACGGTACTTGATGTCGAACTGGTATGCTGATAGTGGATCGCTCATCTCTGAAAACGCGTTGCTGCCAGGACGGGAAATCCCTTTTTTGGACCAAGAATCAGCGTCAATGGCTTATGATCTGTCAGCATATGATCTGTCAGCGATAAATCGTCGTTCGCGCAGGTATTGGTAAAATTTCTAAATCCCGAACACAATTTCAAGGGCTTCTTTTTCTATCATGGAGTAGTTAGGCTCCGCTGAAGTGAGCGTTCTAAAGGCATGCACAATCGGCTGTTCTTCATTCGCACTTCCCATTTGATGGGAAATAACTGCTCCCAATCCGTGGGCAGAAGCCCCCACTGCTAAAAACAACGGCTTCCTGGGTCTTAATGGGTCAACACTTCTGACGACACAAGATGCTTCTTAACTAGTTGACCGACGTTTGCACATTCTTCCATCAAAACCCACTCCAAACCCACACATTATTTGCCAAAAGATCAGTCAAAGGTTGAATAGTTAATAGTTAGGTTAAAAGGTTAATAGTTCACAATACCCAACCACGATTGCATCCTGATCTCCTTCTTGTTGCTGGGATCTTCGAGCTTCAAAATGGCTTCCACTACTTGTGGTGAGGGATGGATACCCTCTTTATTCACTACGAAAGTAGAATATTTTACTTGGTCTTGCATGAACGAACATTTCGACTCTTTACGTTTGATGCGAAAATCATCTAATCGTTGTAAAGTTGACTCCAAATTCTTCCTGTGTTGTGTATCATCTTTGCCCGTTACTAGAACGTCGTCGAGGATGTAACCTACTCCGCCAATCTCTTGGATTATCTGATCCATAGTGTTTTGATGCATGCATGTCTGTATAGTCCGAGATGCGTATTAATGGTAACCAACTTGCGTGGCTCTTCATCAAGCAGTACCTGTTGATAGGCATGTGATAGATCCAGCTTTGAAAACTTTTGTCCATCATTCAATTTACTGAGAATTTCTTCAGCTGTGGGCAGTGGATACTCTGGAACATCAAGTATCGGATTGAATGTGACCTTATAATCACCACAAATACGCACCGTGTTATCAGGCTTTAATACGTGTACAATTGGGTAGCCCATTTTGCACTACCCACCTTTTCCGGAACTCCTTCTTTCTCCAAACGAAACAGTTCATTTGCGATTTTGTCCTTAAGTGCAAACGGTACGGATCTTGGCTTAAAAAACTTAGGCTGGCAAATGTCCTTGACTTTCAGCGATGCTGTGATTCCTTTCACCGTCCGCAGCTTGCCATTGAAGACTGAGTAAGATTTCGATAGCCCTCCCAAACTGGGAGTGTCACCATAGTGGTGTAAATAACACTCCGATTTAATTTTAGTTTGGAAAGCGAATTCCTGCCAAGCAATGGGGGCCCCTCCCCCTTAACCACTAATAAAGGTAAGTTTATTCTTTGGGATTCATACTCGACTTGCACCTCTGCTTCCCCAACGATAGGAACTCTCTCACCAGTAAACGTTTGTAACGTCACCGAACACATAACGTCACCATACATTTGCTCTCAAACAGTTTGTCAGGTATTAGGGAAACCGAAGACCTTTGTGTCAAGTTCCATTTCTATGGGGTACGTATTAATGGATATCTTGACTTTTATTTCTTCTCGGCCTATTGCTTTCATGGTGTAAATGGGCCATTCATCAGATACATCCCCTTCAGACGCATCTCCAGAGTCATCAGACTCTTTGGCAGGCACCTTGTTAACTCTTGAAGTCTTCTTTACAACCTTTCCCTTGTTCCCCGCCACCTTTCCCGCGTTTAGTACTTAATGTAATACACAACACCTGCCAGCAGCCAATCAAATTGCAGAACTTACCTAAACAAACGCTTGTGATATAATGATCAGGGAATAATAAATGGTTATATTATACCTCAAATTCAAATTGCACAATCAAAAAACATTATTTGTGCCATGTGACGAGGATATTTTTCGCCGTATCGCATCCCCGACTCCCATTTCCGAGTTGCTGGAGTGACATTAAATTTATCACACTGCGATATTAAATTTATCCCACGTGATGTCTCGGGAGAACTACACGAACCCACTGGAAATAATGGCAGGAACAGTGTTGTTGTTTGTTTGAAATCAAGAAATTAACGATTCTTAGTGATATCATCACTTCGGGAAATATTTCGCTAAATCCCCATCACTCTAGGTCTATAAATGATAATTATGTAAGTCGAGCAATATCTGAAGCGCAGTATTCGCTATAACCTCAACGAAACAACGCTCAAATTTCCTTGTATGTATTTAATTTGCTTTTTAACGGTTATTAAGCATCTGAACTGTTGATGGTATCAATAAACTTTTAAAACGACTTGTTCTACACTTGTAAGGTACCAGTTCTTTAGGAAACAGAAGGTCGTATTTAAGAATATGCTAATAGTATGCGAGATCAGATAAATTACCAGGTTGCTGTAAAACATTTTTCTTAAAAAAAGAGGAACCTGATGAGAGGTTTCGTCGCGAAGCCAGGTTGGTAATCCATATTTTGCATTGCTCTAACCTGGATCCTTTCCAACTCTCGCAATTGATAGCCAGGGATATTATAATTCCAAACTTGCGCACCGTACTCCATAATTGGTCTTATACATGTTAAATAAACGGAAACGAGAATCTTGTTATCAGTCTGTGCTCAGTTTTAAAATCCCAAGCATATATACAGTTTTTAACGACTTCGTCAATATGATCGTTCTATTTCAGATCATTGGAGACTAAGCAAAGTAACTAATCATAGAAACAAATCTCCCTATTCGTTCACGCTGTTTTCCCCATGCAGTAAAGAAATTTATTACCCATTCATGTGACAAGGATTATAGTTCTATTTCCATTCTTTCCAAATTCGTGATAAGAGTATTATGGTTTATCCTGCCAAATGCTTTCCTGAGCTCGAACAAAAAAAACTCTCACGCACTAGCTGATTAAGTTTTTAAACCGTTGTCACATATGAAATTGTCCGGCATCCAAAAAATCCCACGCGATACCGCATTGCAAACTTTCCGTCGATGATAATTGTTTGACCCTGCATGCTTACAGCTTACTAACGAACTAAATTGCGTGTTTTATTGTAGTTATTTTATTACTGCTATATACTTTCAAATCGCACCTGCATGACTAATTAATTTTCCCAACAATAAAATACATACGACAAAAATCGATACTGAAGGTAAAGTTTTTTTTCTGTAAGAATTGGTTAAATTAGAACTACTCACTGCCATCGACTCTGGTACAGTTCTCTCCATCGCCAGTATATCCAGTAGGACAAGGTCCACATTTAAACGAGGCAACCAAATCTGTACAAGAAACTCCAAGGAAACATGGGTTGTCAGCACATTCATCAATCTTGAGCAAAATAAAAATGTTAAAAGGGTTAACGCGGATACTGAGATTTTGTTCTAAAAATATAGACGGTATTCAGCCCTCGTGTTTCATAGGGTACCGTCAAAGTCCCCCCAAATGTTGCCTAAAATAAATACTATAACTATAAACTGCCAGGTTTATTGTGCTAAAAATATTGTTCTTTGTTATTTTATGCAAATTTTGCCGCGGTCTAACTCGAGAGTATAAATTTATTAAAAAAATAAACTTTTCGACCATCACAGGCAGCGCTAGATGCGGGAGTGATTGAGATAAATTAATATAGCGCCGTATATCATTATTACAGCGGGTTCCGGTTGAGTGCAGAACAACAGGCGTTCGCAACGCATGTTGGGTCTTTTAAAATCAGACGTTAGAAATTTCAGACGGTTTTTGACGCGCATTCTTGCAGTTTTAAACAACGCATATGATTGGATCCTTTAAAATCCTGAAGTGATTAGAAGATTTGTTTACGAAACAGACTGTAATATTAATTTAATTATGCATATTTAAACTTGGTAGGAAACTTGCGAATTTCCAAACGAAGTGGGAGAAAAGAAGTACCTGTAATTATGTTTGCTATATTTACTATATGTTTACCTCAATTTCACAACGTTGACCGGTGTAGCCAGCAAAACAAGAACACGAGAAGCCAGGTTGTGTATTATTACATTTTCCATTGAGACAAGGTTTAGACATATCGCATTCATTTACATCAACTTCACACAGGGTACCCGTATATTCAGGAGGACAGGTGCACGTGAAATGTCCAGCTCCATCAAGGTACCGATAATCAGGATTGCATTCTCCTCAGTGAATTTCTACAGGGACATTCTTTGATGACAACCGACGCACGAAACACGGAGTAAGCACCACATTCGTCTGTGACTTTAAAATGGAATTCTGTCGAATCGTTCAAAGTCTTTGTCCATGTAAACATTCCTCTCTCCGTTAACATAGCTCCAAATGTTTCATTTTTGGCAAAGCTGTATCGAATGGTACGGTACTCAGGATCAATTGCATGTAGCTGAACCCTCAATTGTTTTCTTCGAAACGCGTAGAGGAAAGTTGACGTTGTAAATCGTGGAGGTTGATTATCTTTAAAGAGAAATCGATAAGAGAAAACAAAATTTAAAATTAAAAAGTGAGCAAATCAGATCGGTTGCTGTGACGTAGGGCAAGGTTATGGATCCTGATAGCTTTTCACAAAATGCAACAAAAGAGTTTGTATTTGCGAATTTTCAAAATAATATTACCTGAACACCAATATGATATAGCTTGGCTGAGCTAGGACTTAGCACATTTAGTGTACGAATACAGAGCTTAACTAGTAAACTTTTTAACAACCAGTCGCAACAACCATAATATGCACATACCTCTACGTTTTATCCATGACGTGGTTGAAATATCTGGCACACACTGTTTACACCAGTTATTTGGATGATTTTCGTTTTGCGCAAAACAATGATCAGAAATGAAACAAGCATCGGTCTAAAGTTAAAAACAAAATAGTTTGTGTGTCATGTTTCATGCCAAATTAGTGGTAGCTGATACACTTCTTACGGAGTATATTGAACAGAATTTTTTACTGTATTTCTTGTGTCAGTAAGTTTTTAACAAGAGCTACATTATTGTTAAATTAGCAGTATTTTATTGTGAAGTCTCTTATTCCACTGTTCGTTAATATATCGCCTATATATACTATGATTAATTCATTTTATATTATATATAGGTATCATTTGCAGCTGCACAATCTACGAATCTATTTGGGAATAAAAATTATTCCTAATCTTAAGAAGTTACCTAAAATTCTGGTCAACATTGGGACAAAAAATCGCCCAACGTTGTAAAATTTACGCCCGAAATGTTCCCCATCCATTTGCATCAGGATTTTACCTTTTTTGGAAGAAGTAAATTGAAAGATTCCTTTATAATATATGGATTCGAGTTGAGGGTAAGTGGGTCGTAAGTAATACTCCCTGAAATTTACTGTGCATAACTTAACTATAATATCGCAAAAAAGGACCTTGCTGGTTAATGTGCATGGCATGATACAGCATGCGTTTCATATTGCCGGCGAATAACATTATTTTTAAGTTAGCATGCAGGTATACTGAAATAATATATGCATAACGTAACAACATTGTTTAGTTGAAAAAACGCAGTATTGCATGAATCTCTGAGACGGATTTTTAACCTCGCTTATATATTGTTTACGTATGTAATCGTTTCATTAATAAGTTTACCTTAAGGCGACATTCTGTAGTTGTATTGCATTCTTGGCAGATAGAGTCATACGTAATGAACAACATGACCGCTTTGGATGCATTTATTCCGTTATTTGAAACTGAGATTTTCAGACCAGCAGCTGTAATTCCCTTTTTGTCATATTCGCCGATATTTACAGGAGATTCCGGAAGAAAACATTTAACTTCAGTGAGGTCAACCAGTTTTCCGCGGTGACGCGTGATGGAATTACTTGGAGTCCAGGCTGATTCGATAACCTTAAGAACGTAAGCACATGGAATAAATTAAATACGCAGAGAAACGTTGGTTAAGAAAGTTCCATGTCTTAAGCTTATGTGTATCTACATGTTCTTTTGCGACATGTTGTCCATTGTATTCTATTCCTTATGATCACATTAGTGAAAGTTAGGAAACACGACATTGCGCCTTATTTAGGCCATTCTAATGTACTTCACGTCGTGTTTGCTATATATTTCGCTATAAGACTGATGGATACGTGTTGACATAGTCCGTAAGTAGAGTTAAAAATCAACAAAACTGATCTGAATTTTAAATCATTTTCTGCCGGCTTATATGCAATATTGGCAATATATAATATACAAGTATAGGTCGACTTAGTAGCCTACCATGCAAAAAGTGGATGATGTTGTAATTTTTTTTCGGTTTTGGTTCCGTATGCCTAGTATTAGTATCATATGCACATACGATAGATCGACATGCATGCAATATTGAAAATACAGTCGTAATTTTGTGACTGGTTAGTGAATCGCAATCGTAGCACTTTTATCCCATATAACACCAATATTTCGCCTGAAAACTTACTTTAAACTCCTGAACATGGCATGTCAGATTTCCTGAGTCCAAAAATGGAAACGCATAAATTCCCACATTTTTACATGGTCTTCTTCTGAGATCGCACAGACCAGACTTACGAATACCAGAAATAAATGGGCTATCTTTTAAAGATATGGAGCAATCAGCAGCAATATAATCTTCATCACATGTACATGTTGAGTTAGAACAATTTCCGTGACCAGAACAGCCGTTTGGACATAAAGAGGCTATGAATTTTTTGTTGAGTTTTAGTTTTCCGTCTGTGCTGTTTTCGTAAAATGAAGTGTTCTTGAATATGTTCTTTTTACATGTTTCTTGCAAGGCTGCAAAATTATCGTTGGCCCAGGCAATATTGTCCATAGCCTAAATGGTTATAATAAAGACTATTGCTACAAGCTGTTTTTAAGGTAAGAACGTAACCGGAAACTCTCCATGTTCATTAACTGAATTAATTTTTATCTATTTCGGGTACGAAGCTTGGTCCCGCTGCTTCTCTTAATGATATATGATCTCAGACCAAGTACTCAAATTAAAAATTTGTTTCGTAAATTTTTTTTAACTTTTTTTGCTATACGCGTGAACAAACACAACCTATTGGTAGACAGGGTTAAGCTATAATCGGCTTTTGAACTGGCCCCAGGCATTCAAGTTACAAGAAAAAACATCTCCTTTGAGTTTTGTTTTCGTAGCGTTTCATTGGTCGAGAGCGAATCACGCGAGAGTGACAAAACTTTGATGTCGCCAGTGCGACCCCCTGCAGAGTGAGACAACGTGCTATCTCATGGGAAATAACAACTTTTATCCATTTGAAATTATGTCTTTTATGAATAGATATTTCGTTTTTTGGTTTTTCTTTGACAAGTGGTATATAATATAAAACTTATTTACCGAAAACTCAGAAAAAAATATTTTTTGAGGACCCTCGACCATCGATATTACAAATATTGACAGGTCTTGGGTCCTCAAAACATAATGTTTCCGTCGATCGCAGTAAATAAGTGGTAAATATATAACACTTCATGGTAGCATGGGCCACTGACCTGAATATCTGATACACATTGTTCAACCACGGCATTTATATCCACACCAACAATATTTTCACAGTTCGCCCCAGCTTTTGTATAACGAATCTTCCTATTACAAATCTCTCTAACTTTTACTTCAGTGAGTCCACTTGGTGTCGGCCATGATGGAAGCTGGGTAGAGTTTTGTTGCAGAGGATTAAAGGGTGGGATATCATCTTGATCATCTATATCATCATCTCTTGATTCCGCATCTCTCTTTTCTAAGCTTTCACATAGCCCTAAACAAAGTGAGGATATGACACCATGGTGTCAGGGGCGGCGGGACATAACACATTTTGGGGGGTCTAATTTTGGAATTTCAATGCTCTAGATCTTCGGAAATGGCCATTTCAAAGTCTTACTTGCCGCTTTCATCGTAGTTTTTCATGGGCAAACACAAACTGAAAACGGCACAGGGCGTGTAGCGATATCTTCTACATTTGAAAAATCATCTCTCAAATTCTCAAAATAATTTCCAAACAAAATGGCGGTCCGAAAATAATAACAATTTACAACCACGAATATTCTGCTGTTAAAGACAACTATGAATAATAATAATATAGGATATCAAATTCTTATTAGGATTTAATACGCCGGCGAGCATTAATTTGACGACTTCATGTTAACGTAGTTTGTATATTTGCTCTCCCATTCTGACATTCTTCATGAAACTTTTAGGGGGGCTAAACCCCCAAGATTTGTAGTGGTACAGCATATATCCCAAAATCATGTACCGATTTAAATGAACCTTGTTTCATTTCGATAACTTTATATATACTCATTAAGAAGCCATTTTGAGTCAAACCGGAGTACTTTTTTAAAAGACATAGTACTGATGTGGTTAAAGGTTTGGCCTGTGGTTAAAGGTTAAGAGAACCGCATTATATCAGGAATCAGCAACTTCACCATAGTCTACAAGCTTTCTGTAGAACCCAGGAATCGGGCTCCAAATTACCAAATATCGAGTCTCACCAGTTAAGTAAGTCGTATAACATTAGTTTTCTTACCCGCTTTTATGCCTGAATGATGTTTTCCATCTTCGGATGGGAAGCACTCTGCTATCGCTTTCTCTCCACAAACACCTTTCTCACCCCCACAGCTACAAATTTTCCAAATTTACAATCCTTTAGATGTTTTTCTTCGAGAATTTTATTTACTTTGTAACTGAATATACCTGGGCCATGAATTCTGCAAGAGACGAAGATCGAAGTAAATCAAATTAGGTAAAATTGGTGCAAACATTTTTGCTATTTGTAGAATTACTCCTTCAACACTGTCAATACTGGTTATCAAGAGAAAAATGCACCAGACTTCCTGCTTTTAGCGACACTCGCGAGAAAAAAATTTGCCGCCATTTGCCATGTTGTTTTCGGCTCGTCACAATTAGGGTGCGTAGACGTTTTAATACACCATAACAATGAACTGTCTATAAACCCATTCATTGATTTGAATTGGGAATTCGCTATAGGTTGAAGTAATATAGGCTGACTTTGTATTGGAAACAAATAGTTTCTAAAGGAGTTAAACGTTGTTCAAACGTTGAAAATACAGATTAAAAAGCAAATGGAATCAAGGATCGAGACATTACTGAATTCGACATTTGTTTAGAAATTGAAAAGCAACCTACATGCCCTAGTTTAATTCTCATCCTTGAGATTAACAATAATGCGTTATATTCCCCGAGCCGGTGCGGAGCACCGTGCGAGGGTACTAATTCCACCCAGAGAATTCCACCCACTCTTATTTTATCGAATTAAACTTTTGATGACGTAATCTATCTCATTCTCGACCGCGCAACATTTTTAACACAATTGATTGACATAAGAACTTATGTTACTTACTGCATGCACATTTTTTTTTAATTGACAGTGAGATAATAACAACGACTTATAGGATTGTTAATCCAGGTATTTAGTTCTGAGAGGTGATAAATATTTTCAACTAATTACTTATTTATCCTATAATTATACGATATGTCATACATAAAAGGAAAAGCGATTAACGATTGTAAATGACCGAAAAATATATTTACCCTGGATAGGAAGGGCTAACCGACTGTATAAGGCTTTACATCATCCTTTAAATTAAACTTTAAAAAGAGTTCTTAAAAGTGTACTTTGGAGTTTTGATAAAACTAATATCATTTTGAAGCTTATAGTCGCTGAAAAATTGCATAAATTCAATAATGAAAAAAATATTCGCACCAAAGGTAAATAACATTATATATTTACACAAAGCTTAGTGTAAGTATTACTATGGATAATAAAGAGCGAATTATTTACAAAAGTTTGATGATGTAAGAGATAGAAGTTAAAATAGGAATTAACCATCTAAGAGTGATTTGTTATAAAATTCGGTCATAGGCTTGTAAGAAACTATTTTTAAATCTATCAGTCCTACATTTAAACAAATCCAAACTCTCGTTATTGTGTATTAAACGTCCATGTGAATCGTACCTCGTAGAAGGCATGAAATGAGACAATTTCGACTTGATTGAGTTTTAAGATCATTAAAAAGTTTCACACACAAGCGATGGCGGTTATCTTCGAGATTCGGGCACTCGGTTTTAGCAAGAGTTTGACGATAAGATAATTCTGTGCAAATAATACGAAAGAACCTCTTTTAGATACATTCAATCTTCTCAACAAGATAAGTTGGTAGGCATGAATGCCAAACGGCACATTCATATTCTAAAATAGGACAGACAATTGCCATATATGTTTTTATCAAATCGTTTATGGAAACTCCATTACGTTTCAATGTGCGAATAATATACAGAAGTTTTCCAGCTTTTTTTGTTATAGTGTTCACGTGTTCTCCCCATTTGGTATCAGCCTGGATTTGTAGATCTAATAATTTATCACTTTTCACCACTCAATTGGTATTCCATCAATGACTAGTTGGGATAGGTCAGATGGGTTACGTTGGAAATTTATCCTTAGTGCCTTAAATTTTTTTGGGTTGAGCTTCATATGATTATCATGGGTCAAATTTAAGATGTGATCTAGTTCAAGTTGCACGACAGATGAGCTATGTTTTCATAGAACTTCGGAGATGGTAATGTCATCTACATATTTCCAATGGTCAGAGTTTAAGGTTCTTAAATCATTTATCATTATCAGGAATAAAATAGGTCCTAGTTTAGTTCCCTGTGGAACAATAGCATTTGCTTTTGCCCATTCCGAGATTGATTTTCATACTTTAACTCTCTTCTTTCGATCTGATAAGAAGTTGCATCATGGGATGAGAGATTTTCGAAGCCCAGGTCGATCAATTTCGTTATTAGTATATTTAGATCAATTCTGTGAAAAGCCTTACTGGAATTAAGTAGGACAATCAAAACTAGATAACCACGAATGGAACATATCCGGTAAGCATAAGGTGGACGACGAAATTCAGAGACACCCAAATTGTTTTGAGTCGATTTTATGCCCGATATCGTCTATGATCCATTCGACCACAAATTCTTCCAGGATTTTTGTTATTCAAGCCGTTGGGTGGTATATCTTTCGGGATTGCATGGGGAAATATTGGCGGCTTTTCACAAACTTGGTAGGGGTAGATAATAGGTAATTGTTCAGCAGCAGGTAAGAATGATGGTAATTTATTCAAAATAAATGGTGGGATTTCTTCATCAATCGAGATAAAAAACTGGTTCAATGTTGTCACTAACTCATCGTCACTCAGAACAGATCCGGCCCATCCTCTTCAAGGTAGATTGGTGTTGTGTTGCTTGATCTACAACCAAGCTTCTTGACCAATTTCCACCATGATGTGCTGTCACTCTTCTTAAGATGATGCATTTTACTACAATAATTTTTTTTCCTTAGTTCCACTGCCGATTTAACTTTGTTTTTATAACAACGCTAGCGGTCAGTGTTTCCAGAGGAAAAGGCTCGCTGACGTGCAATGATCAATTGCTTGATTGAAGTCGTCATCCAAGATTTATCATTAGTATGAAGTTTAACCGACTGTAGAGGAAAAAAGGTGTGTATAGCATGGGTAATAGACTCTGTATAATCCGAGGTAATTTCTTCAATGGTCCCTTCGAGAAGGAAGGATTCCAGTCAAGTGACATCAACCATCGGCCAAAGGCTTGTCGTCGAGATTGGGAAAAGAGACGCCCCTGGCGCTTGATGACCTTGCCATGTGATATGGCATGGGGCTTTATTATCACGACGCTAATTAATAACATTATGATCAGATGTACTAACAGGAGCTAGAATTGAAGGCGCTTTATAAAATTGCTGCATGTTGGTGATTACAAGGTCAAGAATGGCTGAACCTCGCGTTGTGTCTTTCACAACTTGGTGCAGGTTTGGCTATTCCAGATATCCGAGATATCTAGGTTATTAGAATCTCCGAGTAGTACTGTACCATAATCGGGGGATTATTACAGATGTTAGCGAGGGATTCTATTAAATAACTAACGAGGTCACGTTGTTCTTGCATCGATTTGTCTGGAGGATTGTATATGACCCCTACAGTGATACCAGAAATCGACCTAGGGAGACGATGACCTCTCAGCCACAAGGATAAACATCCATACAATGGGTTTTCCAAGTCAGTCAGCCTCTTATAAGGAATTAGATTTGAAACATAAGCGCGAACTCCCCCGCCTCACCCGTTGGGTCTATTTCGGCAGGTTATAGTTTGGAATGGTTAGAATATCGTTATTAATCTCGTCATGGTGCCAGGACTCAGAGACTACTGCTATATCGATACTTCAAAAGAATTACGAATTCGTCGATTTTAAGAAGTAATGGTATAAAGGGTATCAACTGTTCCTCCACTCAAAATTAAGAACCTTTATACCTCTAGAATTTACCTACATTGAGTGAAGTGCCAAAAATCATAATCGAATTTACTTTTGTTTAAAGTATTAAGTAAAATACGCTTGGAAGAATATGTAGTGGTAAAAGGGTAAGCTATAAGATCTGCATCTGTTCAATTTTGTTTTTAAATACGACGAATTATTAAAAATCTCGAAAACATCTTCATCTTCTATTGCTAAGTCTAAAATCAGTTAAACGGCATGCTGCATATTCCGGAAAATTTCAGAGTATCGGTAAGAAAAACCTACCGATTTGTTTCTCCAAATTGATGTTCCGTCCCATAAAAATCGTCGTCGGGCTTTCCATTATAATTTCCACATAAACCTTGACTATGGTGACCGGTATTTTGGTTATTTTGGTTGAATGGAGTTGGGGCTTTAATGTAGGTGCTAAGACCCCAGAACCAACGCTTTATTGTCACCATGACTCCCGAAGGCAAATATACCTATAGAAAATAATTACTATAAATTTACATAAATATATATATATATATATATATATATATATATATATATATATATATATATATATATATATATATATATATATACTGTATATATATATATAATTATATATATATATATATATATATATATATATATATATTTATATATATATATATATGTAATTGTCTTATCCAGACTGATTTCTTTCGTAAGCTATATATATCTTTTCTATGATAAGTAAACATAAATATATGAATATACACCTTCCGATGAAGCGGTATCAGTTAATGATCGAAGCCGTTACTAGGAAGCAGTTTTTCTGCGCAAAACAATACACACACATGCGTTTTTTTGGGGAAAGCACTCCTATAGGATGTAATTCTTTGTGGTCAATCTTTCATCCCAAAGACTCGTTCTTATATGGCCTTTAAATCGTTCTCCTGGGATTTATATTCTCCCGATTAGGACTCTGCAACTGCGAACCAGCGCATGATGTCATGTATGCGCACACGCTACATACCATGAAAGAGGTAGCCGAAGACATCAACCTGACCAACGGCACACGTTAGTTGGACTGTATACGATTCGACTGATCTATGATTACAATAACTTAATGCTGAGTCTATGGGCTTGAACGTGACAATCAGGAGCGCTTCTTCCCAAGCCCGAACTTGTATTTTTATTTATTCGATTACTAAAGCAACATTATGACATACATTAATTTTAGACTATATAGTGAAGGAGTCACTATATCGTCGTGTTATTGGCTCGTCTGTATAGATTACAGATAATGGTTATATACTGTCTATACTATCAGCAATATGTCACCCAACAGAGCCGAAGAAACGTTAAGTTGAATAACGTTAGTCTTAAGCATGTTATGAGATCTGTAACCTGATAAACTGTACTGAGGCATAGGTATGAATAGTGACTGCCATACATACGTCATGTGGCAAATGCCCCTGTTATGTATTCTGTTCTGTTATGTTTGAGTGGTGGGAGGGTGGTTCAAATTTTTCGATTTGACGTAAGTAATACCTTTATTTTGCAAACTGTATCTTTGAGCAGAGCGATTGGAGCGCCGGTTTGATGCATGTCTGACATGCCACCCGCAAACAATGTATTTTGCGAAGACACACCTTGATATGAGTTCCTCATTA